GTACAATCCTAGGCTAATTCCAAAGATGCATCTGAAGTCCCAAGCAACCCTCTAAGTCCACCCCATCCTTAAATAGGCAAGTGTCACAAAATTCAGTGTTAGTACTTAGGCTTGCCCTTGGGGTTCTGACAGGATACATCCTCAGCTGCAGCCACAAAGAGTACCATCTGTGCACATTCACTATGTCCCTTTTTAAAAGGGCCCTACCCACCTCTCTCCTCTCCTCTCCTCTCCTCTCTCTCCTCCCCCTCTCTCTTCCCCTTCTCTCTCTCTTTCTGTCTCTCTCTTTTCCCTTCTGTTGCTACTGTCCTCAGATGTCTTCTCCTTTTCCCCATTACCTTACCCCTAGTAAAACTCCACTCCACATGAGCTCTGTTGCATGAAATATTTCTCTCATATGCAGCCTTTTAAAATTACAATATTATTCTATATTTACCTTTCCATATTCCCAACATTGACCCAGTATCCACATTTTGTGACTCCTGCTGTTTCTTTTTCTAAATGTCTTTACTTTTTCAATTGGCTCTTGCCTGCCACCCAGGATTAATTTAAAGCTATCTGGAAGTCATTTTATTTAATCAGCAACAGAGACTCAGAAACAACACAATGAACTCAGAGTTTTGGAATATATTCTTCTTAGAGGTTATAATCTGGGAATATTGAGAAAAACAATAATTGAGGGATTTTGAAGCCATAGTTGGTTTTGCATCCCATATCTATTTTGTTTTCAGAGAAGGTTAAATTGCTGTTCGCTACTTTTGTTATCTGAGAAAAATAAGAATATATTCTGACTAGGCAAACAGGGCTTTTAAATGAGATACTGTTTGTAAAATATTTAACAAAGTGCCTTGTCTCGGGTAAACATTTAAAAATATTCAGAGGTTGGAGAAACCTCTGGGTTCAGTTCTAGCATTAGAAAAAAGAAATCCTAATTCTCACTCCTCACAAGTCTTGTTTTCTACTCATCACTGATTTATAACTGACTATTTTACTTCTTTTTCTTTTTTTGACTTCATGATCTAAAACTTTTATTATCATGCACATTTTTATACTTCATGATATAAATGTACAATAACATACCTAACTAGATGCCTCTCTATGATTAGACTGTTTTCAAATGTGGTTAGAAAAAAAGAAGGGAATGAATGTGCAATAAGGGGTTAGGGAGAGGTTAAGAGCAGTTACTGCTCTTCTAGAGGACTCAAGTTCAGTTCCCAGCATCCACACAGGAGGACTTAACATCACCTGCAACCCCAGCTCCAGGAGATACAACCCCTTCATCTGGCCTACACAGGCACGCACACACACACACACATACCTTAAAAAATTACAGAAAAGAAAGTCCAATAAAGAGCATCATTTTCAGGTGATTGCTACATGTCAACAAATGTTCTTTAAATAGTGCATTGTAATTTATGTAGTCTCGACAGGCACGATGTCCTCCCAGTGGCTCCCACCAAACCTCATTGGCTACCCAAACTTCCCTCATAAGGACTGTCCTAAAATCCAGATACAAGTGAATAGCCTGGAGACTCAAGCTTGTGGCAATCCCACCAATATACAGAACAGAAGCCTGGCTCTGCCTTGAGCTCTCCCACTGATCCTGGAATGTTCTGTATGTTTCTGGCTGATCAATAATAGGTCCTGATTCGCCCTCCAAAGTGATTGAAACATCTACCTTTACCTTCAGACGTCTACCAGATATCCCATACTAAACAGGTTCCAAATTGAAATTATCATCTTTCCTATTGTTCCAATTTTTCATATCATAAGTCTTGGATCAGTCATCCTTTTACCTTTTCTGTCATTTTTTTTTAACATACAGCATTTGCTAGGAAGAAATCCAAAGGACTCTAACTTTAGAATATATAGCTTTATTTTTCATAGCTATTAAACATAACTTTAAACTATGTCCACTCCTCCTCCACTAGCACTTTGGTCTGAGCCAGCGCTGTCCACTCACCTGGTTGGCTATAAGGATCTCCTCCTCCTTGTAAGTACCCTATAGATTCCATGCCTTTACTCAAAATCTTACAATGACCTCATTCTGCTAGAGTTAAATTCAAATTCCAAGGCTCTATGTGATCTACTCCCACCATCCTTCTGATCTCATCTTATCAACCCTGCTGGCAAGCAAGCTTTACTCTGGCACATTCTCAACATGTAGTTCTCAAACACCCAACCAACCTTTTGCCTTATGGCTCGGTAGACTATACCCTGGTCCCTGAATGAGCTTCCCAAGACAGACACAGAGCTCAACCCTCCATCTTCCTTCATACCTGTTACAACAAAGAACACCCAAGCTGGCTAAGTTAATGTGGTGAGCGGCTCCTCTCCAAATCCGTTTTCTGTTCGTATTTTTTAAAGATATTTTCAAGTCAGTGGCAGCATAGGCCTTTGATCCCATCTCTGGGGAGGCAGGTAGATGTCTATGTGTTCTAAGACAACCTGGTTGGCACAGGAGTTGTTAGTTATCTGGGACTTCCCTATTTCTGTGTACTAAATAAAACTGAAATGGTTATTTTGGGTTTTGATAACTGATAACCAGTGTAAATGGCTGTCCCAGCCACCATGGATAGGAGAGAGAGAAACTTAGAGGTAAGATGAAAATATGATACATGTATTCATCAAGAAAATTGCTGCAGCTAAGATGGTAAAGTCAATGAGATAAACATTTTCTTTGCTATATTCACAACATTTGATATAAATACTACAGAGAGGGTGCTGGTGATCTAGCTTAGTTGGCAGAATGTGTTTAGCATGAACAACCCCCATCCCCCAGCACTGCGTGTAAGCTGGGCACAGTAGTGTTTATCTGCAATCCAGCTCTAAGGGTGGAGACAGAATGATCAGATGTTCAAGGTAAACTTCTGCTAGTTATGAGTTTAAGATCATACTGGACCACAGTTGAGCCCTGTGGATGATTTCATATTCTCTCTCTCCCTTCCTATATAAATACACATACACATATATTTAAAGCATTTCCCACACCACATAGCAAACCACTATGTAATCTGTTTATATGTATTTTACTTAAATAATGTTAACTTCCAATGAGGAGTTGGGATGTTTGTCCAATAATGCCTTTCAAATACCTAAGAACAGCATAAGTGGTCATGTGAGTAACTGTTTAGCAAATGAAAAGCACGTTTCAGCCAGTGTCCAGCCCTACCACTTAGGTGCAGGGCTGCATATTCAGATGGTTTGGAGAGAAAAAAAAAATCAAGGAACTAAAGTGACAAAGTGCAGGGAAGTGCAGTGAGGCAGCTCACTCAAAGGGACTGGCTGCATTCAAAGGGACTGGCTGCAGAGCCAGGCAATTGCCAAACAGCCCCAGTGGCCTAAGGGACAGGCTGTCCCCACCTGCTGTTTGTCACAAAATCTAGGCCCAAACTTCTGTTTTCAATCTTTTAGTCTTTCTCTTCTGGCAACGGGTGGGGGTAGATGGTTTCACAAGAAGGCAGGTATACACAATTCAGTTTCATTTTGTACATTTGTTTGATCTTTGAAACGTTTTCCTGTGCCTATGATTTTTTTAAGAAAATGATACCAAGTTGAAAAGCAAATTTCTGGAATTAAATTAAAAGTTTTTCAACATGAAGGACAAGCTAAACTGAACCCCAACTGTGAGCCTGTGAACCCAACTGTGAGCCTGTGAGCCTGGAGAACTACCTTTGCAGGCTGAACTTCTTCTGGCAGATATTACTTATTTTCACAACTAAGTTTGAGCCCCCCACTGAAGCCTCTCTGAAACTCACTTCCTGCTTCCTAATCTACCCTACCTTGGGCAGGGCTCCATTGTACACATCTAAGCTAATCTGTGCTATCTGCCTCTGTATGGGATGGGAAGACAAATACCCAGCTTTGGGCCTCTTTGAATACCTAGGGGAGGATTGAGGTTTAGTACCTTGGATCAGCCGCCTTTTGTTAGAGAGCTGAATTTTCAGAAAAGGAAGAGGTAATATGAATGCCAGACTACAAGCCCGGAGCCCTCTTTACAATTGCGTTTGAGGTAACAGAGCATTCTGAAGTGAAAGAAAAGTGGTATATCACAAATCCTTTCTAGCCCAATGACAAAAATTAAGCTCTAAAAAAAATATAAACAACATTGATAATTCCCTTGCTTATATTTTGTATCTTTAAGAGATACTTAAAATTGATTTTGAAGACTTTTTTGCATCTCTAAGAAAGTATTACTTTTTAAAGAGAGCTACAAATAAGTTTACGAGAAAGAAAAACACAAAACTGTGTTATTTCAGGGCTACTCACTAAGCAAGCCACAGCAGGGAAATTGGACAAAGGCTGGCAATTGCATTTTTGTCACATGCCACAAGATGTCAGCATGCAACTGAGCAACTTCAGTTGGGGTGAGGGGTGTTTTCCCTTAAGTAGAACAATAGAAGGCCTTTCCCTCATTCTGAGATCTGCTACCAGAGCTTTGTTAAACTCAATTCATAAATATATTTGCAGGCATATTCAATTATTGTAGACAGGATTCTTAATATATTCTTACTGCAGTTTGCAAATGATGATTTTTTTTTTTTAAATCTTAATTTTCTTCTCTACAATGTGAGTTAATCATTCCTCTGACCAAATCTCAAACCTTAAATCCTTACAGGGATCTAAGATTGATCTTCAACCCCAAGATACCCCAGCCCAGTCAAGTATCTGGGGGAACCCTTACAGATGAAGGAGAAGAGTGAGGTGCTGAGGAATTTCATTTACTATACATCATAAAATCCGTGGGCATCTAAACTATGCCAAAGGAGTGTGTGTGTGTGAGTGTGTGTGTGCACACACTTGCAGGCAGGACGGCCTTCTCTTGCCATGAGTCCTTATTCACCCGTACTAAACCACATGCTGAGTCCCAACACCTCACTTAGAAGAAAGAAACTGGTATCTTTCACTTGTGACTATTACCAAAGCCCAATAACTGGGAGAAAGCCATCCAATGAAATTACTTCTATCTCAGTACCAGTAGACCTTTAAGATTTTCTTACATCATTTGTGGTTTTCTCTTGCTTTTCGTGTTTTTCTCGGTCATAAGCCATTTTCTTCAGCAATTTCTTCATGGCCCTCCTTTCCTTTTTGTGACTTTCAGTGTTTTGCTTCCTCACTTGGTTAACGATAAACTTGGGAATCTATGGAGAAAAGAAAGTCAGCTTGAGGAAGAAAAGGTCAGAAAGGCGTGGAACCCTTTTAAACTCAATACTTTCTTTTCTTTTATTTGTTTTTTTTTTTTTTTTTTATTTCAAGAGGAATAAAGCTTCTGTTTCTCAAGACTAAGCCATTTCGCTGCGCTGTTCATTAGCTCTGTGAAAGAAATGAACCATGCGCTCACTTAGACCAGAACAGGGCATCCATTTGGAGTAATTTACCACCCACTGTTCAAGGGTGCAGAGGGACTTCATGAAGTTCAAGGACATACTGGCCACTTCCATGCCACGGCTGTCAACACAGGAGATTCCCTGAGGAGACCCTTGTGGAGGCCACCACCTCTACAGTTGTCCCCTTAGCAACCACCTCCCTCTGGCTCCTCTAAGCTAACCTACAGGTCCCTTCCAATAATGCAGATGGCCTCTGCTGTCAGACCAGAAGAAAAGCTCACCCATCAGCAAAAGCCAAAAAATTGGCCTGGCACACCTGAAGATATACTATACTTCTAAAGATAAGGGAAAACTTACCCTTAGAAATTATATTAAGAACCAAATCTTTTAGGCAACTAAAATGTAGCTATAAAATAATGTTGCTCTCAATGGAGGCAGGCATGATAACTGAGCATTACTTTAAAGATATTTTGAAAACTTATAACACTAGCCTTTGGATAGAATAAAAGCCTTGAGAGTCTAGGGAGCATCATTTGTATTTTTAAAAATATTAGGATTAGGAGAAGTTCATATTAAGGTTTAAAATAGTTAATATTATAAGTTGGGATTTCTTTAGTTCATTTTTCTAAATGCCTGTTTAAAAAAAAAAAAAGGACCCTCTTTCTCTGCAAAAAATATAACTTTCATTGAAAAATGAGACAGTAATCAACTAAATCTCTGATGAGTATCCATGTTGATGATCTGTCAAAACTTAAGATCAATGTAAGAGTAAAGCAGGAAACTGCATTCAAGACCTCAGCAATGGAAGTGCAGAATGTGCATACCCCTTTAAATAAAAGCTCTGTGGAAAATAAGGAAATGATTGGAGCAAAGACAGCATGAGCTCTTTAAAACATTTCAGCCTGAACACTAAGCAGAAGGGAAATGCGCTGATGGTACTACCTAAGAAGAGCCTTTTACAAGGCATGTTTTCTTGACCTAATTTTGTGATTCTAAAATAGAAATTCACAAGGCCCTCCTTACCTCTGTGAATAGAATGTCTTTAATACCTCTGCATTCACATATGGTAATGGTAATTTTATAAGGTTGGCAGCCAACATGCAGTGTCTTTTTAAGCCATTGAGGGGGGGGGGAGCACATTGCTTTTAAATATCAATTTTATAAAGTTATTTCTTGATTATTAACAACAATCACGCTAGGAAATTACAGGACCGTTATTGCAGTGTTAAAAACAAATACCACATCCTTTTCTTATGTGAGGAAACTGGGTCTAAACTCTTGTGTATGTATAAGCATTTGTGTGTCCATGTGTATTAGCGAAGGGATGATGAGACAGGAGGAAGAGATCTTACAGTAGAGGAGAAAGGAGAATTATAGAACACATACAATAAAGAGATAAAACAGTACCAACTGGAGGGAGAGACGAGAACTTGCCAGAATAAATGCAGGTATAAGTTAAAAAAAAAAAGTATAATGACAAATATGTACGAAGATGTCTCTATGAAACTCAAGACTTGGTACACTGACCTAAAACATTAAGGTGAAAACATATACTTACTGTCCATAGAAGCTTTTGGTACTTAATCAATAAGTGCATGACATTCGCTGTCCCAGCAGCCATTTCAAATTCTCGGTGTTCACTGGACTTCAAACCCAGTGTATGGCACATGAAGAGATTCGGGGCCATGACCATTGCTACATTCACAACTGTCATTTTATTCTTCTCTTTATTGTCAATGACTCTTTGGAGAAATTCAAGCAAAGCCTAAAACAAAAATGACCGAGATTTCTGTCATACTCGGAGATAAGAGATAGACACCATAGCATGTAGGAGTTTTATGTTGTTTTTAAACTCTAAAATCGTATGAAAGCCAGCTGTTACATAAGCTTCCTAAAATAAAATCATAATATAAAAAGAGTTTAAATGGAGTTACCTTAAAGGGGACAATAACCTAACACCACAGGCCAGCAAATGAGAAGACCCAGTGCCAGGAATAGGCTACCTCTTTTGGAACAGTTGACTAATAGCGATTTCCATTATTTTTGATTATCCCTCAGGATTTGACAGTATGACCCTGTGAAGATACCACATACTTGAACTACAAAACAAGGAGAAATCAAGATGGCAGTGATCTCAAAGCTTTATCCACACTTGCTAGTTTTCATGATGCTGGAAAGTGTGCTACTAGAAGACAAAGGTAAACATCAGTCTTATCCAGTCGTGACCTCTGTGAACCCCAATAATGACTGCCCTGGTACTGGTGTAGTAGTGGCACCAACATCATGGGAGTAACCAACCACTTTCTTATTAGATTTAAACCCTACTCCACTATACTTGTCACCATAATCTGGGCCAAAAACCTATGCCTACCCAGATCATAGACTCTAGGGAAGAACTTAATACTACTGTTGTGCAAATGGAAACAATAAACCAACTCCCTAATGATGTACTGCTATACCCATAGATCAGGGCCACTCTTCAACCTCATAAGAAAGGCTTACTCTTGAGAGAGCAATTGAAACAGTGAGCCACACCTGGCCAAGGTTCAAAGAGTAAGAGACTGCAAAACACTCAACCATGAATATATATCTATGTCACATGTCTTCCCTCAATGTTAGGGGACAGAAGGATTGTAAGAGCCAGTGGTTACAGATGTCTAGAAAGAAACAGTGTTTATCAGACACAGTGGTTGCCATAGAACGAATAAGACCCACACAAGCATAAACCAGTCAAAACCCCAGCATGGAGGGAGAATGAGCACATTCCTAACAAAGGAGCCACTTCTATTTGATAGCATCTGGGAGGAAAACTAGAATTGGTCCTACTCCCTGGAGTACCTGAACACAAGTAGGATTCAATGGTCTTAAAAGAAAGAAAAAAGAATGAACATGAAGATGGGTGGGTAGGGTGGATCTGGATGGAGCTGGGGGAAGAGTTGACAATGATCAAAATACAGTGTATGAAATTATCAAAAAGTGATATCTAAAATATAGACAGTAAAGAAAGAAACTTTTTGCTGTGATACAGCAGAAGGTAGGAAAACTTGCCTTCAGGCCTGTCAACATGAGGTCAGCCAGCAGGCCCTACATGGCAGAAGGAGATAACCAACTCCTAGAACTTGTTCTCTGAACTTCACATATGTGCCTTAACACATGTGCCCTATGCACATAAACACACAAATAAGTAAATGAAAAAGATATTAAAAAGAACAAGTAGTCAGGGCTGAGGATAGCTCAGATGGTAAAGCGCCTGCTAGGTAAGCCTGAAGACCCAAGTTTGATTCCTAGAACACATGTAAAAAGTTGGGTTAGACTCCTCCACTGCTGGTGGGAGTGCAAACTCATACAGTCATTTTGGAGATCAGTATGGCGGTTCCTCAGGAAAATGGGAATTAGTTTACCACAGGACCCGGCAATCCCCCTCTTAGGCATATACCCAAAGGATTCACATCCATGCAACAAAGATATTTGTTCAACTATGTTCATATTTGTAATAGCAAGAACCTGGAAGCAACCTAGATGCCCCTCAATTGAAGAGTGGTTAATGAAGATGTGGCACATCTACACATTGGAATTCTACTCTGCAGAAAAAAATAATGGTATCTTGAAATTCGCAGGCAAGTAGATGGCACTTGAAGAAACCATCCTGAATGAGTCACAAAAAGAGGAACACAGTATATACTAACTCATATATGCATTTTCGACCTAGATCAAAGGATCACCAGCCTATAATTCGCACCACCAGAGGAACTAGGATACAAGGTGTATTCTAAGAGATTCATATAAGGTCCCTCACAGAACTGGGAAGGGACAAGTCCCCCAGAGCTCAAGAGAAGTGGGGGGGGGCAGCGAATGGAGAGAGAAGTAGGAGAAAACGAGGGGGAGGAAAGGAAAACATGTGCGACCAGGAGGATTGAGCCTGGTTAGGAATAGAAGACAGGAAAGAGAGAGAGAGAGACAGAGACAGAGAGAGAGAACATAAAAGAAGGAGCCAATATTGGTTTGAAGAAAAAATTGAACACAAAGAAAGGTCTAGAGAACTACAAGACTGCTGCCAACTAACAATTTGAGCTTCCGTGGAAAGGCTATCATAAATGCCCTTCCCAGAGAGTGAGATCAACAACTAACTTCTCCATGGAGCCCTCAACTAATGCCTGTTGGAAACAGGATCAAACACCCATACATAAACACTGAGTCTAACTAGAACCCAGATGCAGATGGAGAGGACAAGACCAGGCGGCAGAAACACATACAGACAGCTTACCTGAACAAGGAGGAGCTAAAGGCCACTAGACTGATAGCTGGGAAGCCAGCATGGGACTTACTCAGGCCCCCCTGAATATGGGTCTCAGCCAGAAGGACTGAGCAGTCTAAGGGACCTCAGACAGTGGAGCCAGGATGTATCCCTGGTGCACAAAAGGACTTTGTGAACACATCCCCCATGGAGGGATAACTGCCTTAATCTAGAGACAGAAGAGAAGCCCTAGTCCCTACTTCACATGACCTGTCAGATCTACATGACCCCAACTGGATGGCATTCCCCTACATATGGAATTGAGGTGGGGGGATGGGAGGGGAGGGTGGTTAGAGTGCATGTGAGAAGGCAGAGAGGGTAAAAGGGAGGGAAGGAGGGAGGGAAGGAGAGAAGGAGGGAGGGGGGAAGGAGGGAGGGAGGGAGAGGGAACTGGGATTGACATGTAAAATAATAAATTAAATTAAAAATAAAAATGCTTTGACTCCAAAATTTAAGTTGAAGGACAAGTTACGGGGAAAAGGATTTCTATTTTTGTTTCCACAGAAAATGAAAAGATGTGGATTCCTTCCAGACTAATGTGGTCTGATCAAGCCAGACCGCCTGAAACAGAGTACTAGGTGATCCTACATTCAAAACAGCTGGACAAAGCAGCCTTACAGACTACAGCCAGGATTTCTGAATCTTCTTCAAATCCCCCATGACAGCGCCCCTTACCAGCAGGAAGTAGTTTGGAAAGAACAACGCCCAAATTCCCAAATATTGTCTATAAATGTTTGTTTTCATTTAAATGGACTTTGTTATATACAATAAATAAAAAAATTAAAAATAAAAAAAAGAAAAATTAAAAAGAAGTACATTGATTTAAAAAAACAAAACAAAACAAAAAGTTGGGTTAGATAGTGTGTGTTTGGAGAGGCAGAAATGGGCTTACTCATCAACCTGCCTATTGTAATCCAGTCATCCCTAGGTGTCCATGTGAGAAATTCTCTCTCAAAAAACAAGAGAGTTGGCTCCTTGGAATGACACCCAAGGTTGACCTTTGGCCTGCATACACTTACACACACACACACACACACACACACACACACACACACACACCTATACTTGTGCACATACTTCTGGATTATGCATAATCAGTCAGCTATTTGCCCATGCACACATGCATACACACAAAAGCAAGCATGCATACAAGCACATGTGACTCATGCATAACCACCTTTCTCTACCCAACAGGCCTTATCAGCAAACCTCCTCAGAGAAATGGATGAAGCCCAAAATGGTGCTTTGCTCCTCCCAAGCCCATGGCGCTGGGCAGCAAGGCAGAGAGAGATGTGTAGCAATCCAGGCCTGTAAATCTACAGGAACCACAGAGCACTGAAAGTAGTTTCAAATAGCATATAAACATTCACATGCTTCAGGAAATGCTAATTTTTTTTTTCACCAGAGGGAGAGAGAGAGGGAAAAGAGAGGGAGGGAAAAAGAAGGAAAGGACATAAAAGGAAAAGGAAGAAGAAAATCTTTGAGCAAGTGCACTCTACCTTCATTTCATTCTCACTAGGGGCCTCCAAGCCTGCTGGCACAAAACCTAAATGAAGTGAGCTTTGTTGGGAGGGGGCGGGGGAGCTACCAAGAAATACCAAAGAAAAGAGAGGTTTTAAAAGCCGAGGGAGCGAATGAGCAGGGACTCTGAGACTATGTTAGGTCTTGCTCAGCATCAACGTTAGACTTCCACTAGTACCCCACACTCTGAGCTGCCGGCCCCCAGAGCCACGAGCAGTGGAGTCGTCCTTCTCTGACAAGACGGGGAATGGTTCTTTTTGCCTGTTTGTTTGTTCAGTTGATTTTCTCAAGAATAACACTAACTGCATGTGTGTTTGATCTCCATGAACGAGGCGGTGTGTCAGGCACATTTTAGAGACCATCATTTTAACCCTCCTGAGAGGCTGACACTAGTGCTACCCCAGTTTGCTGAGGAGGAAGTGATGCCTTATGAGAGAATAATACTGGAGGGCTCACAGCCAGCAAATGCCAGGCAAGGAATTTAATCCCAGCTCTTGTCTCTGAACTCTTAACTATGCAAGGAATCACATTTTCATAGTCATCCTAAAATGCCTACCTGAAGAAGTCAAAATATGGCTAGACCCAAGTGGGAGGAGCAAAGCCAAATAAAACTGGCCTTTTTACAAAAATTTAGGGCAGAAACAAAAGCAAACCAAAAATAAACCTGTCTCTAGTGCTAACAGGTTCATCTTATATCAGGTTTATTTGCAATATAGACCTCAGACATCTGAAGTAAACTAGAGGCTTAATATCTAGCAGCAAAATTTATGTATCTAATATCTGGTACAGTGCTAGCAAAGCTAAATTGTAATCCAAGCATTCGGCTGTATTAGAGCAACATGTTCACAAATGAGGACAAAAGATTAATTGAAGTTTAGGAAAAAATATTTAATTTTGTTCCACAGAGACCAGAATAGTTTCTTGGGGACCAGTGTATCACTTTCTTTATGAGCATAAATTATAAAGATTAGATAATTATTTTAATTGTGGTGTGCATATGCAATAAGATTGTTCAAAATATTACTAGAGGAATGCCTGGGAGGAAGGGGGGAGAGGAAAGGAGGGGAGGAGATGAAGGGGAGGAAAGAGAAGATAAGTTAGTAAGATGCCTTGACAAAGCTATATTGAAGAATGGCTGGACCATTTAAAGCAATTATGAACTATACAGAGAACCTGGTGTGAGAAGACTGAGTCTTTACAAATGTAGAGGCCAGGATAGTAGTTACTCATTAGCTAAAGAGTGCTCATTGGGTATCTGTGCTCAATCCCTCTGTAAAAATGTGTCCCTATGTAAAGTGGGAATACAACTCTCCTAGTCTCCAAGGAATGTAACACTATATATTACAAAGTTTTAAATTTAAATAAAATTAATTGCAAAAGAGGGAGTCAGAGTGATGGCCTAGCCCTACAGAAGATTGGATCTTCCAGAGGATGAGAGCTTGATTCCCAGCACCCACATGGGGTGGCTCACAATCATCTGTCACTGAAGCCTTCTGTGCTCCTATTGCTCCCTCCCACACATAAACAAGCAAATGAACAAAAAATACTTTTAAAGGAGGGTGAGGAGCTGTGTTTGCACAGTGGTTAAGAACAGTCACCCTTCTTGCAAACCGGAGTTCGGTTCCCAGTACCCATATTGGACAGCTCACAAGTGCCTGTAACTCCAGCTCCATGGGGATCTGACACTCTCTTCTGGACCTTGAAAGTAAGCGCACATGTGCATGGGGCTGGGGGGGGGGGCAGTAACAGAACCAGATTAATATTGCTTATTGAATTGTTTACTCTCTTTTCCCAAAGTTTATACTTAATCCCTCCTCCCATGTGATTAACGTCTCTTTATTTTCAAGGTCAGGGCCTTTCTATGCAAATGCGCCAAGGCAGGTCTCAAACTTGTCACCTTCACTTCTTAGCCTCCTGTGTCCTGGGATTATAGTTATGCTCTACTATTTTAGTTGCTTTTCTATGCCAACAACAAGAAACCATGACCACCACGGCAGTTTATAGGAGATTTGGGGGGGTGGGGCTTATAGTTCAGAGGGTGAATACATGACCATCCTGCAGGCAACATGGCATCAGGGAACAGGAAACAGGCAGTAGCTAAAAGTGTATATCTTGATCCACAAGTGGAAGGCAGAGAACCCTGAAAATCTGCCCCTCCTGATGCACCTCCTCCAAGAGGGCCATATTGCCTGATCCTTCCCAAACTGTTTCGCCAACAGGGGGCCAATTTTCAAACAAATGAGCCCATCTGGGATTTCTCATTTAACCCACAATACCTAGCAACACTGAGCTTGAATATTTGAGGCTAAGGAAAATTAACCAGTGTGAAAACAATCCACTCTGATCCTAAGGACCTCTAATGACACTACTACTACTAAGATCATTAAATCAGATGGGTGACTACTTTACCAAATTGCTTCATTATAATTATACAAATCAGAACTTCCAGCCCCGAGAGAAGTAACTTAGTGTTATAATGAATACTTTATTTAGTTGGACATAGTGACTTATTTCCAACTCTACCACTTCTAACTATAAACGTCTGTCATATCTTCAGGAAATAGTGCATCATACATGATGAACACTGCCATTTACGTTTTAAATGCCTATTGTTTGCTTTATTGTACATGCTTACTAAGTAACATTGGAACAACTAGAAAAATCGAAGAAGGAAACACGGAAAGATTCCATGTTTTCTATCAATCAATGAACTTTGATCATCTGCTCTTCCAGAAAGAATATTGCTGTGGAAATTGGAAAAGCAAAGCTTAGAACTGGCAGTGGTGGTGCCAGGGTGGCCGGGGCAGGGGTATGTCTTAAATTCAAGCCCAGCCGGGGCTGTTTGCCAAGACACATCTTAAAACCAGAGCTGCACCAGGGAGATGGCTCAGAGGGTAAACCACTGCCACACAAGCTTGAGAAGCAGAGTTTGGATCCTCAGAACCCATTTAAATGTTAGGACGGTGTTGTAACCCACCTGTAATCCCACACATGGGAGCGAGGCAGAGACTGGAGATCCTGGGAACTAGCTAGACTAGCTCAATCTGAAAGTTCTAGATTCACTTGAGACACTCTGTCTCAGGCCTAAAGCAGTTAAAAACTCTTGCCACTCCTGCAGAGGACCTGTTGGCAACAGAAATTCTAGCTCCAGGGGAGCTGGTGCTCTCTACTGGAAGCTCTGCAGGCAGCCTCAAGCACAAACCTGCACACAGGCATACGCATATACAAAATTAAAGATAAATAAGTATTTTTTTTAAAAAAAAGAGAGACCCTGCCCCAATATATGAGGCAGAGTGCAATCAAAGGAGACACCAAATGTTCACCCTTGTCCACCATACAGGCGCATGTGTGCGCACACACACGTATCTGTACACAGAACTATACAAAATTGTATGTCCATATGCACATGAACTCTCTCTCTCAAAAAGATACAAGTGCTACAAAACAAAACAACCTAGGGGCTGTAGAGGTGGGTTAGTGGTTAAGAACACTTGCTATTGTTGCAGGGGACCAATCTACAATCCCCAGCATCCACATAGAGACTCAAAAGCACATATGTCTTCAACTCCAAGGGATCTGACGGCCTCTCCTGGTTACCATGGGTACCTGCACATACATAGTGCACAGACACAGAAGCAGGCATGCAGATACATATGTAAAATAAATAAACCCTCTTAAAAACCCTCGGTAATATTAATACAGTTAGCAACCCAGTAAACTAAGGGTGAAAGGCCACCTTTCAACATCTGTCCTTAAAAGCACTCTTTCCCTTTTTAGATATATATTGTTGCTTCCAAAACAAGCATCACACTGTTTTCCCACAAATAATGAAAAAATTGCCCTGCGTTGTGCTATGGGATATTTAGTGTAAATTAGCCAGCTGACCTTCAGTGTGTCTCTGTTTGCATCAGGTAGAAGGATGACAAGGAGGTTCAAAGCCTGCAATTGTTCCTTTTTGGTCGGAAGATCTGTAGATAGATGAAAGAAATACGAAAACTTCAGGGAACACTTTCCTTTCTTTTTCCATTTTTGAAGAAAAAAAAAAACTGTTGTAAAGATTACAGTGGAATGTAAGACACAGTGACTGAGCAGCCAGTCTCATGGAGAGTGTTTGCTAGAGACCAGTGGAAGCAGCTGCTCTGAGCACCCTTAGTCCTAGGATGCTAGCATCCAACTGTGATCACATGATGAGCAGCCTTATGTTTGCAGACATACAACAGTGATTTGGAGATAATTCTAACTTCCACAATATAATTCTCCTCCAATGGAAACATGGAGAAGACTGGACTGTCCAGGAAATGCTAGCAAGGGTAGGGTGCTTTTTTTTTTTTTTTTTTTAAACACTGAAGTTTGAGTTTGTCTCTTAATGTCAAGGGAACAAAATACAAGAGAACACTGACAGGTGTAGAAAAAAAAATGGGGCCTAGAATATAATGTGTCCAATAAATGTGTATGGCATGAATGAAGAACCAGTCAGCAAGTGAAGCTTCCAGGATGTATACACATCATCACTACAGTCCCAGCAATTTAGAGCATTGCCAGTTTTGTCAGCCAGAAACAAATTTGGTCCATATCCAAGACATGTATTCAAAATAATGCAACTTCGTTATTACAAATATTTTTAACCAAAGATTTTTTTGTTGTTTCAAGGAGATACTTTAAATAGTGGTTTTCTTATTGTCTTTATGCATTTTGAAAGAAAAAAAGTTATGGCACAAGATAACTTAGGCATTCACCCCAAGTCCACAAACTAAAGAATAGTATGCAACTACGCAAAGGGAAATATACCGCCCTGTCAATGCTAATAATGCACCCGTTCACTCACAAAGGTTCCAGTTTGGAAGCTATAGATATGATTACTTGAATACCATTACAATACTGTTTCCTTTCCTGATGGTCCCTAGGAATAAATGGAACAATCATGGCAGTATATAACCCCTAGAAGGTCTCTGTGTTCCCTGGAAAGGAATCAAGATTCAACACATATCTTAACTTGGAGTTTCCCAGGACCACAAAATGGCCACACTCCAGAACCCCAAGGGCCTCCACCAATGAGGCAGCAAAGTACTAGGGACCCACCCCCCAACACCATTTCAGAATTGGAATTTTTTAGGAAATGGTCATGGATGCTGAGATATCTCCTTGTGCTTTTATGATAACTGTGTGTGCTGCTTTCAGCACTTGGCAAGAAAACCACACCAGAGATCTATGTGACTCACACAATTAAGATGCACTGTGTTCTTAAAGGCCATGCAACTCATACGCACCTGAGGAGAACATTCAATTGTGTTTGTTTATGAAAAGAATGAGTGTGTGGCGTTTGAGCAACCCTTGACATCCATGAAACAACATGTCTAACCAAAGGCAGCCAGTTACGTGCCCCATGAGACAATAAGTGCGGGCAGCACCAACTTCCAGGCCACACCCTGATGGAAACCACTTACTCTGGACGGCCTGGAAGGCTTTGAGATACTCCACACTCAGCAGCGGCTGGGGCAGCTCTCTGAGAAAGAGCTTCAGCAGGCTAGCTGCGTCGTGCTGTTTGACACTTTCCCAGTTAAAAGTTCCTTCATAAAACTTTGCTTCTAGTTCTTGGCAAAGGTTCTGAATGGCACAAGGGGAAAAAGAAATTAGCAGTAAGCACATTTTTTCCTTCCCTATTTAGAATGTGTTTTCTACTTTACAAGAACTCTAATCTGTCAAGTGTTAGAGTAGTAAAAGTTAACATTTCTCTGTTACTCAGAAAAATGCCATTCCCAACCTTGGCTGTCCTGACATGGAGACATTACACCCAAGGTTAAGAAAGTTTCAACATTTTCACACACTTTGATTAACAAACGTTTAATTAAAAGATCGATTAAAATCACTTTCCATTGGGCATATCACTTAGGCCCTACAATTTGTCACTGTATTAAAACAGACCACTTAAAATTCAAGATTATGTTATTGAGCTATTTAGAGGTTTATTATATAACAAAACACATAATAAATTCATGCCTGGACAAGCAGAAGGTTACCTCTAATTTGTTACCACTAATTTGCCTAAATGAAAAAACCAAATCTTATAGATAAGGAGCCAAAAATATATATAAAGATACCTACCTTCATTGGACCATCATGCCCCTGCTAGCTAAGGTTAACATTTGAAATCTATGTAGAATCAGGATGCTGAGGTCATCCATTCCAGACACACTATGAGATGTGCCAACTCAACTACTACTACCATCACCACCACCGCTATTACTACTCCATCAAGTTATTCCATCGGTACTATTTTTCTGGATTCACTTTTAATGTGGCATGAGCCCTATTATGTCAGAAATCCCTCTAATTCGCTATTACTAGAGCCACTTCTGCTTTCTCAAAGGACAGCTTTGGCTTGTTTTCTTTAGCTACAGTGTGGAGATGGAACCTTATACCCCTGTATGCTAGGAAAGTGTTCCACTGCTAAGCTACATCCTTTGTTGTTCTTCTCCTTCTCCCAATAAAACCCTCATTTCTTTTTGCACTAATTGTTTTTGTAGTTGGTGAAAAACGTGGATGCAACCATCAGAAATTGGGAGTGGAGTAAAAGGGGAGCAAGGGGAAAAAAAAAGAAAGGAGTAAGCAAGGAGGGAAGATAGAGATAAAAGAAATGAGGAGAGGAAGGGAGGGAAGAAGGGAGAGAGGGGGGGGAGACTAAAGGAGGGGAGGAGGCAAGAAAGAGGGGCGGAGAAAATTCAGTGGGGCAGGGAGACCAAACATTTGCTCATCATCTTTAAATCATTTACAAGGGGCTAGCTGCAGCTTGATCTGGCCTGTGACTACAGGCTGGGTGGAGCAGTTGGCACAGCTGAAGCCACTTACCTGGCCTTTGAAATCACTCTAGCAGTTCCTTCTGTCAACGCTGCCAACTATGTGGCCCCTGTCAAGGGTCTTAATCTGCTCCCCACCTGGAGTGCCATGTGCCTCTCAAATCAAAACTCGACTGCTATTACTCATCCTGACTCGCACCCAGCTCCCTACTGTCTTTCTGACTCGTGATGCTCTCATTATCATTGGGTGATGAAGGATTTGGAAAAATAAAAACTTACAGAAAAAAAAAAAAAAAAAAAAAAACCAGAAGGGGTTTGTAAAGAAACTATAAACTGGATGTTAAGAGGCTTTATTGTTTTATTTTATCTGCTTTGCTAACAAGAAAAAAGGGTGGAAAAGCTACGCTGACCTTTAAAATGTGCAGGCGAAATTAAACAATAAAACTGTACATTAACAGAACAGTGTTTCAGTTACCTTGATTCTCATGGCAGCTCCTGGTATTCGCAGGAGGCCTTCGGTTTCCAGACCGCCTTCTTCAATTCGAGAAATCAGCTGTGGGTAAGCCAACAAACCTTCTGATCTCGGTATTTATAACAGGAACAGGTTAACATCTGTCCCACACCCCTGCCCATGTCAGTGAGTGAAAGCACGTTCCAATGGCATGCAAACTGGATTCAATGTGATTCTGAGTGCTATTGGACCAACATCTTCAAAACTATGCATATGAAAACCCAAGTTACCATTTTGAAAAAGTTCATCTTATTCTCCCTTGTGAAAGGAATATCTGTTTCACACAACAGCTGCAGTTCTGCATAGGACCAGGAAAAAGATGTTCACCGTGTAAAAGCAGCTCGGAACATCATCCTGCTGTACCAGCAACATGCATTGTGTGGCCAAATAAATATCATGCAATTCCAGTATTTGCATATTTCTATGTTGTATCTAGTCTGTTTCAAGAAACAGTATTTTTATATGAAAAAAAATAGTTGCTAATATTCATGTTAAGCTCCTGGTGATAAGCTTAAAGAAGAATGCTTTTAAATAGGGCTGCAAAGTACCAACCCTCAATGAATGGTCACATATCTCCTTCAGTGACTCTACTAAAATGAGCTAAAATAAAAATGTAACAGCCATGGGGTGGGAGACATGCCCTGGTGGTTAAAAGCATGAATTGTTCTTGCAGAGGACCCAAATTCAGATGTCAGCTACTATGTAGCTAGCTCACAGCTGCCTGAAACTCCAGGTGGAGGGGCATCTGATGCCCCTGGTCTTTGTGGGCACCTGTATTCACATGCACATACCATCCCCCTACACACACACAAATGCAAATAATTTGTTTTTTTTTTTTTGTTACAAATACTTGTTTATAAATGTTAAAAAACGTATTACAAATATCAGGCAAGTAAGGAACAGCACAGAGGCAAATTGCTAAAAAAAAAAAAAAAAAAAAACTGTGAAGACAAGAAGGGTGGTCTGCTCCCTTCTGCTCCCTGACAGAGCTGCCATTAGAAACCCTGGGGCATACATCCCTTGGAGCACACAGAGGGCAGAGAATCCTCTGCAATGTTTAGGGAAATCACTTTCCAACTACAAGGCACTTACTTGCACTAAGTGCTTCTTTCTTATACCCCCTGCCTCCTACCTTTACTCAAAAATGAAACCAGACACGGTCTTCCTGCATCTCTGATCTTAGTTTAATGTTGTCTGTACACCTCGAGGCATAAAACCCTCCAGGGTGCAAAAGAATGTTTCCTTCAGGGAATCTTCTGTTAATGATTAATCAGGCACCATAGACCTCATTGAGCTTATTGCTTTCCCCTTGCATATAAAAATGTACACATTGTAGGAAAGCCTAGCACCCTCTAGGAGGTTTTGGGATCTCTATGTGCTAACATCAGATGTATCATAGCATGTGGATCCTGGAGGTCATGGTGATTTTTCCTTAAAGACCTTGTCTGCCTATCCTGAGGATAGATTTTCACCAGGAAATTCACGGATACAGAGGGATTCCGAGAACATGCCAATAATAGCAAGAAATTATGAGAATACATTATTGGATAAAGCATCCATCCCTGACCACTCAAGGATGTACATCAATTTTTAAAATTCAAAATTTTCCTAGACCACATCTTTCAAGTACCACTGTAGAGAAACTCAGAGCAAGAATTAGAAATTATTTGAAATTAGAAAGACATTACTCAATAAAGTGTTTCATGCCAAATTTTTAAAATATTCCATGTACAGCCAATTTTCATTTTATTTCCCCTTATAAAATATCTCATGGACCCCAGACTGATAGCTGGGAAACCAGCAAAGGACAGACCCAGACCCCTTGAACATGGGTGTCAGTTAGGAGACCTGGGCAATCTATGGGGCCTCTGGTAGTGGATCAGTATTTATCCTTAGTATACCAATGGACTTTGGGAGCCCATTCCATATAGAGGGACACTCTCTCAGCCTAGACACACAGAGGAGGGTCTAGGACCTGCTCCAAATGATATGACAGACTTTGAAGACTCCTCATGGAAGGCCTTACCCTCCCTGGGGAGCAGAAAAGGGATGGGATAGAGGGTCAGTGGGGGGCAGGGGAGGAGGGGAGGGAGAAGGTACTGGAACTGGCATGTAAAAAAGCTTGTTTCTAATTTAAATTTTAAAAAACCCAACTCTTTAAAAAAGAAATATTTGCATGTCCTATTAAAACATCCATTTGAATGCAGACTGCTGAAGTCAATTAGATTTTAGCAGTCTACACTTTCATTAAGTACAGAAGAAAATCATGTTCTAAACAGCTGAATAGGATCCATTCCTGAATTCTATATTTGAATTTATTTCTAGTGTTCTCTAATGTTGGATCCCAACATCAAGAGTTATGTATATACTGTCTGAAACAATACCATGTGCTATCTCCTATTTCTCACTTGGAAAATCACATATTTTAGCTATATTATTAATTAGCTATATTACTGGCTTTTATATTAGTAAAAAAACCATATTCTAGCTTTCTTCTAATTTTCAAGACCTCAAATAGACAAAAGTAACTATACTTAATTATGCTGGTTGGGGAAATTTGGTATGTCATACTTTATCAGTGATCCATAGTATTTCTCAAAATGTAAATCATGTGTGTGCATGTCTGTGTGTGTGTGTGTGTGTGTGTGTGTGTGTGTGTAAAACTAAAGTGGAAATGAAATCAGACCCTTTGACATAACACTGATTTGACTGATCCTCTTGACAAAAAGATATTGTTGGATTTGAAAATTTGATCAGATAATGTACGTTCCCATAAAATAAAATGAACACATTTCTTTACCCAAACCCTTGTAAGAACATGGTTTGAACGATATGCTTGGGGGGGGGGGTAGGTAAGAAAAACAGAAGACGAAATTAACTGATAAAAGATAACCTTTGTTTAGTGTCACCTGCCAGATATGTTCCCTACTCAGTAAAGATGAACCCTCTGGAGTCGGAGCAAACATTTCTGCAAATCAAGTGTTAACCCCTCCCCATTTTGGAAGGACAGACAATAGGGGCGGGAACTGCTGATCAAATGATGCTCCTCCTGCTCACAACACAAGGCAGAAGCAAACTGGTGAGAACTGCCTACCCTTCAACTCTGCAAGGGCCCTTTATTTTTATTATGAACAAAACTGAAATATGAATTCAAAATAGTAGGCTGCAGGAGCCTCTGATGTGCTCAAGGGAACAAAATTGTAAAATAACTTGTTAAATACGTCAAATCAAAATTTTGGGAAAATTGAAAAAAGATGTTTTCTTCTTGAGATACCACAATCAGTCAGTATTCCACCTACTGAACCTTGTATGAAGTCAAACTGAGACTTCCCCATGTGATGATCAACTGTGTGTGCCAACCTGGTTAGTGCTGAGTGCCCAGCAGTTCAGTCAAACACTAGTCTAGATGCTGTAGTGACGGCATCATTTTAGAAGGGACCAAGTATTGAATTGCAGAATTTAAGCCATGCAGGTCACCATCTGCAATATGGTGAGCCCCAGCCCATCAGGTGAAGATGCAAAGCAAAGTCTGAGGGTTACAAAGAAACTGTTCTTCCTCAAGACTGCACCATCAACTCTTGCCCAAGTTGCTCTCCTGGTGTCTTGTTCCACATATGTCAGACTTGCTGGATATCCCATTAAACTGCATGAACAAAATCATTAAAAGAACTCTTTCCGTATAGATAGGTACAGATAGAGATATATAGATAGAGACAGAGACAAAGATATAGATAGAAATAGATTCTATTGATGCTGGAGGAGCTTGACTTAAGGAAGATACAAGGATAGAGCTTTACAATGCATCTTTGAATAGTAACTCCATCCTTTCAACCTAAGAAACAAATTGGAATACGTAGTCTCTATATGCTACCTCCTTTAACTTAATCAGACTAAGTTATCAACTATGAATACAGACAGAATACTCATCCAGAGACATGTCAGATACAAGTTTGACAGGAAAGAGAAGTGAAGCACCTACATCAAGTGGCTAACAAGGGTGGAAACTGATTTGGAACAGAACAGTGAATACCAAATAGACTGAGCCTTAGGACCGGCTGAGTCGGTCAACGGAAAAACCAGCTCTACTGTCCTGAGAAATTATAGACACTGACATTGAGGCTACTGCAAAGGATCTTCCTTTGGCTAGTCCACAGCTGTTGAGCCTGTCTTCCTTTCTGTGTTTTCTTAGGTTTTATCAAAAGCAATCTGTTCTCCTGCACAATGATGGCTCAGAGGTTGAGCTGAAATTTTTCTTTTATTGCTACAGATAATCCCCTTATGAATAATTGAGTGTTGACTACACAAGCAACTTGATAGTTTAGCAATCATTTTCTAATTCAACTTTATGGTTTCTTTGCCTACTCTGGACATGGGCACTGGTAAATTAAGTTGGACAGCATCACTGCAAATAGGAGAGCATGAGAAATACATACGTGCATGAAATATTCATGAAGATTCAATTCCCTAGGAATTTATACACAGTTCTCACTCCTATGTATTATACAACTGAAATCTCAATTACACAAAAGCAGCTAATAAAAGAGAGGAAAATGATGCCAGGCAATCACAGATACAGTAATATCATAGAAAGTATCACCATGAGATAAAAATTATGAGGCCTTGAAACAAATTTGCTTCCTGAATAGAAAATCAAAGTATAAAATAAAATAGCATATCAATTGGAAAAATATATCCTCACAGTCTGAGTATAAAACGTCACTATTAGCCTAAGTATGTTCTTGCTGCACTGGACAGTTCAAACCTACTTACTTTTTGAAAGATCAAGGGTATTCGAGTTCCTGGCACTTTCCTTTGATCTTGTTCTAACAACGTGGTTAATGGAACACCAAAAAGACCAGAGTCTGAAATAAGAAAAAACAAGCTCTTCACTTCCGTCAACCTAAAAATTGTAATAAAAACTGAAAATATGAGATTCTTTACATCGTCGCTTATTGATCAGATTATTTATTGAGCACCTACTAAGGGAATGATACCACTAGCCATTAAATAGACACATGTCAACATAACCAAAGCATGGCTCTATCTTCTGGAACAATCCAGCAGAGATAAGTATGTGAACAAATGATGGCAATTAGAAAGAACAAACGGCTGCATAAAACATACATATTACTATGAGGACATGTAAACTATTTACAGTGAAGAAGTGCAATCAAATTAAAAGTTCTGATGTAAAATCAAACACCATTTATCCTTCCCTTACTGAATGGACATTGAACACTCCCTGATACAGCTAAATATAAACATTTGCTTTTTGAGAATTATAATCCTGATCTATAAATGTGTCTTTCAAAATGTAGTAGATATCTAGCATTCTTACAATAAATTCTCTCTCTCTCTTGTGTGGTGTGTGTGTGTGGTGTGTAATGATGGGTAATATGTGTACATTTTTCTAAACTCATCTCTTATGCTGTAAGTTTGAAATGAGCATAACTCCTACCTACAATATTTTTCTGTCTCTCTTCTGGGACGATGGTTACCACAGAAGTGAGGGCTCTGTCCTTTAGGAATGACACAATCAAGTAAATAACATTCATCTGTAGACAGGCCTGTGGTTTAAGGACAGACACTGAACACTGAGAAGCCATTTAAAAAAAAAAATAAATTGCCTTTTGGTCTGATCATCACAAAAGAGTTGTATTTTCAGGGACTCCAAATACCCAAGATACAAGGATCTGGGATAAAAATTATAGGTATTTTTGAAAACTACAATGTACTTCCTCTATTTTCATTTAAGCAGTCACAGCCTTAAAAGAACATTTTAATATTTCTCTCTTCACCCTATAACAAAAGCAAAAATTACAACAAGCAAACAAACATGAACAGCAACAAAACCACCTCTGTAAGCCATTTTAAAGTCTTGGGTGGGCAGTCATAGCCATTCAAACTGTATTCCTACTTTATGTTTGGAGAAAAGGTCATGATGCATTTTGACAGAAGCATTTAAACTCTTCATTCTTCAAGGGGACTTAGGGGAAACCAGAAGCACCATTGAACTCAGAAAGTCACCACTATGAGCCTTAAGCTAAAATATTCCAGAGAACTGAACACAGAATGAGGTCTTCACGGTCCACCACAACAGGGACACATAGAAAGGACAGAAATGGTACACTTCAGTCCCACAGAGAAACACTCTATAACTTAAATCAGGTATGTACTTGGCTCATGTTACCATAGCAACTCAATAAGCCTTGTTCCCAGTACCTCTTTAGGAGACACCTGTAAGGTTAAACCAGAGAACAGAAATTCCTAAATGGGAAAGCTTTGCTAGTAGAGAATCACCTGGATTTCCAGACCAAGAAAATCAGAGAAGCAAAGACTAAAGGCATCTGTTCTTTATCATGTTATCAGGATTAGTCAGCTGATGTAATAGAAAAGCAAGCTGCTTGCAAAATCAGGATGACACATGGAAAATGAGTACAACATAGTGGTACTGCATCTCACAACAGCATTCTTTTATTTACAGGGGGAAATGTTTTTGTCAAAATAGCTAAAAATGCAATGTAGGGCTAATGGGATGGCTCTTCCGGTCAAAGGGCGCGCACATCAGGCAAGCTGGAAAGCCAGAGCTTGGTCCTTGGAACCCATAGTGGAAGGGGAGAACTGACTCATGACAGTTGTCCTCTGATGTCTCTATGTATATTGTGGCACTTGCATGCTCACACTCACATGTACATTACATGCACACAATACCAAGAAGTTAAATTTAAATTTAAAAATAGAATGAAACTGAGCATAAGGACAGAATGTTAACTCCCATATTTCATCATGGAATAACAAAGGGAATCACTCAACACCAACCAACCCCTTAAAAGCCATTGTTTTGAGATCTGGTTTTGGAAGAAAGACATGTTTGCCAAAGGGCTCTTTCTCAAACGTACAGCTTTCTAAAGAAAAACAAACAAACAAACAAAAAGCAAAAAAAACAAGAGCATAACCATTCCTTGAGTAACAATTCCCTTCTGTGAGAATTAGATGATTTGGTTGTATATTCTATTTATCAGTTTATTAGAAGTTTTAAGGCAATGTTGAGAATTGCAACTCTAGCTGCCTAGATGCATTGGAGCCCCAGTTTATTTGGTTGATGCTCCACATCAACAATACCAGCCAAGAGCCAAGTCTATTTTTGCAGCTTTGGAACCAAATCTAACTTTACCTTTTGTCTTGATTTTCACAGCTTTCTGTTGTTTGAGTTCCACACCCAACACATCATACAGGGCAGTGAGTTCAATCAGGGCTAGACGGAAAACTTTCTTCATGTCTTGGGGGGCTAAGTCCCCAATCCTTGTAGTACCAGTTTTATCTTTTGGCAGTCTGAAACTCTAAAACAATAAAAATAAATAAATATAAATATAAACGTGTGTGTGTGTGTGTGTGTGTGTGTGTGTGTGTTAGAAAAGGTTATCAGTATCTAACTCCTTTTGTCCCTTTTGTAATGAAAGGCAAACACATTCTAACTACAGCAAAAAGATTATACTCAGATTGGGTGACAATGAAAATCACGGTAGAATGTCGCAGTCAGAAAGTGGAGATTTTATCATGGTGAGCCCCCAAACTGTGGAGAGTTAGATAATTCACATTCGATGTTTGACATAAAGTGAAGCTAAACCAAGTAATATAATAAATCAGAGAACAGGAAAATAGATTTCTATCTCATGGGCCTTCAAGAACCAAAGTTTGGATGTCAGGCAGGGCCCATAAGGAAGAGATCAGAGAGGAAGCAAGGTTAGATGGTCTGCTGAATATAAACAGGAGGAAGAGAAGGAGGAATTACACTCATGGGGATATCCTTAGAATGTGCCAGGTGTGCTCCACATCCAGGACGCTCTCTTAATTGTCATAAAGAACCAGCGAGATTAGTGAAGAAAGGCTATCCACCATTACAGTGGGAGATACAGGGACTTCAGAGCCAGAGGGTTTTTCGTTTCCAGCTGCTTGCTAGCTGTGGGTTTTGGGCAACTGCTGAACCTCTCTATCAAATTTGATGAGAAAGAGGAACAGGGAAGGGAAAAAGAGAAGGTCCCCTCATTCAAGAGGGTCATTGTGAGGCTTAAACAGTCAACACAAAGAAACTACTTTTGTGTCTGCTACTATTGCTATTTCACTGTTGAACACACGCGGGCCAATGACCCCAGCCAGGGTTAGGAATCAATGAGTGGTCTTTTTGCTTTTGTGTGCCTTCCTCAAATTTCATCTTCTAATGACTTAACCTTCTTTATCACTAAACACATTAAGTATAAGAAAACAAGGCACAAAATAAAAGAACAAATTTCTCTAGCATATTTAATAAAAATTACAGTCCCACTGTGTTTACTGAATAAAACAATACTCATTCTCTAGTAGTTTAATTAAAAATCATGTCATCCAGACTATTTCTTTGGGGTTTGCCCTAATTCCTTCCCTCTCAAGCATCCATTCTCAGAGTATGGTTCATTGTGGGAACCAATTAGTCCAAGAGGTCAAGCTTATGAGCTCATGGTTAGTTTTAATAATAATACTAACACATGGTTCTTCCTTTTTTACTCTAATTCTCTCATGAGTGTGTAATAATGGACTTTTCCAGAAGTAAATGATATGGATATTCCAGCAAACAAAATGCAGAAAAGAATTTTTTCCATTTCAAAAAGCTATGTATGTTAATAATAGTTAACTTTAATATAGTATTTTGATTTTTCAACTTGAGATTTTTGGTGGTAAAACTCAAGTGCAGGTTTCTTTTTTCTTTCTTTTTTCATACTAACAATTAAAATTAGTATCTGTGTATGCTTGGTAAGGAACCTCTCTTCACCCAGCAGTCTATTACTGAGATATAGTCCCATGCTGAAATTATAATTTATTATAATAAATATCAAGAGAGAATCATACATGGTGCCTCACATTTGTAATTCCAGTGCTCAGATGGCTGAGGGTGGAGGATTGCTGTAAGGTCAGAGCCATCACATGTTACATTGTGAATTTCAGGGTGGCCTAGCTACACAGTAAGACTCTGCCTCAAAAACGTACATGTATCCATAGTTCAATTAACATATACCCAAGGTTTTTTTTTTTTAGGTCTTAAATCATTTTAAGACCATAGTAAAATTGTGAGACAATAAATATTCAAAGAGAATATTTGCCAACAGAACATAGAACAATTTCTGACACCAGTGTCTTTTGGAGATTGGGTAGATTTTCATATACTCAATTCCAGAGAGCTTGAGTGCTTACCAAAATAATAACAATAATGCTAATAATAATAATAACAATAATAAAAAACTATAAATGATGTCTTTTTGAACTTGTGGTAGTACATTTTTCCCTTGAAAATATTAAAACAGCACAGAGTATCATGGAAAGTAGAGTGTAAGTATATTTTAAGTATTTATTCATCTGACCTCCATGTTGCAACACAAAGCAGAACGCAGAGCTACACTGCAGGTGACATACCCTGTCTCTATCACTTACTGGTTGTGCTAGGTTTTTAACCACTGTGACAAATTCTTGAGAAAATACAACTTAAGGGAGGATGTTTATTTTCATGCATAGCTTCAGTCCATGGCAGTGGGGATGGGGAAATCCCTGGGGCGGGGGGGGGGGGCGCGGTGCATTGCAGTCAAATTCCTATCCTAATTGTCAGAAAACAGAAGGAGAGGAGGAGGGTAGGAAGGGAGGAAGGAATGGAGGAACATGATGCATGGGTGGGGTGGGGTGGGGTGGAGGGAGAGAGAATGAAAAAGAGAGATCTGTAAAATAGAAATACCACAGATTCTATCACACAACCTCACAAGGTGAGGATCCAATGAATGATACACGTAAGCACTCAAAAGTACTAAGTACATACACACATACACACAAATCTACACATGTATACACAGATGTACACATATGCATATACACACATACACACATACCACACACATATACACACATGTACACACATACACACACACCACACACATGTATACACATGCACACATACGTGTATACACACATACACACACATGTACACACATGCATGTACCTACATACACACACCACACACATGTACACACATGTACACATATGCATGTACACACATACACACACCACACACATGTACACATACACACATCATATATTTGCACCAAATATGTGGGTAATTTGTGAAAGGGTCTCTCATGTAGCCAAAGTGGTCTTTGAATTCTCCCAGTCTGGTCTTGAACTTCTGATTCTCCTGGGCCTCTCCATCAGAGTGCTGAGATGTAGACAACTGTCTACATACATAAACTATTACTCTATTTGTGTGTGTGTGTGTGTGTGTGTGTGTGTGTGTGTGTGTGTGTGTGTGAACTTTAAAAACCATTTGAAAATATTTTTGGTTTTGTTTTTCCTGAAAGTGTGGCCAGCAAAGAAAAAAAACAAGGGTAATACTCATATTTGGTAAATGGTATCTCACTATATTCTGCAAAAAGTTCCACCAGAGTAAGAATTAGGGCATACTCTAGGTATGGGGAAATGGGCCTTTAGGAAGACTCAGGCATGACCTCATAGAACAGTCTCTGACTGTTCCCACCTGCTTTTGTTGCCTGAAAATCCAGGCAATTTTCCTGTTCTATACCTCACTCATCCTCTAGAGAGGTAGGGACAGTGTAGGTTTTGCAGGGGACAGTGAGCCCTCAACGGCAGGCTTACATCTTCACTAGCTCTCCAGCCCCAGTATGTCTCAGGCTTAGCATGCCTGAGGTACCCTGTCTACTGAAGCAAGTCAGACACACACTCCACACAGAGAGGATGACCACGTGAAGCTGTTGTCTCTGTCACAGCCCAGAAAACTAACACTCAAGACCCTCCTGTTTCCACCTGTCAAGGACTGAGGTTTTAGCTGTCTGCCCGTGTACACTGCATTCATGCTTGCACGTGTTTGTCTATGTCCTCTGATGTCCTGTCATATTTCCTGAGCTTTCATTAATTAGAGGCATTGATGGACCTCGTAAGTGCTGTTCAAACTTCTGTTCTTAAGCTGTTATCATCAGCCCTGAGCTTTACTTCTTAAAACCCACATAAAACACGTGTAATTCTTCTCACACATGACTCCGTACGTCTGCTAATGGCTTTGGTTCCAGAATGGCTGAACCAACCATATCTACCCATTTACATGTTTGAAAAAAGCAACAGTTCAAGTGTTTCATTAAAATCAGTTGCTTTGGGTCTAATAAGCCATGTAATATAATTACCTAAAAGTATTACCCAAGGTAAATGTTTAGAGAAACCTGAAATGTTATTAGTACAAACATTTCATTTACCTAGCAATGTATGTCATGAGCTTGTTTATTTATTTATTTAAACATTGTGCTTAATAAAAGAATTGGTTCTTTAGCCCAATGTTTAATTCATAGCGGCTGTTTTAAATATTTATGAAGTTTCTTGTCAGTGTGTGTGTGTGTGTGTGTGTGTGTGTGTTTTAATAAACTGAATGGTTCAGTTTCTTGGCTGATAAAAAAATAAAACTGAAATTTCAGCAAGAATAAAGCGCCTTACCTTTGGAATAATGTAATTTTTTAAAGAAATGAAATTTTTCCAAAATGCATAAGTTTCTTAGGGCTTCTATACAACATCGACTCACAGCCTACGGCGTAGGCTGTGACGCACAGTGGGTGGAGGGGTGTCTTGGGACTTTATTAGTAATGCTGAAGTTGAATCTTTCACTCAGCAACCACTCCCACTTTCGATTCAAGTTGGAAATCCAGAGCAGAAAATGCTCACAGAGTCAGGGTCTCCATGATCCACTATCTCTCTAACTTGTTTGCACATTTAAAATCTGAGGTGATAGTATCTAGCTCAGGAAGATCACTCCATGAAATGAGTAAGCAGTTACAAAGCATCATTTCCAGACTATGACATGGACACAATGTACACAAGAGAGCTCAGTTTGCAGATGGCTGCACCCTGAAAGATATTAAATGTGATCTCCAAACGTAAGAGAAGAAATATGAATACACTGTGAGACCATAAAGAACTCACAAAGACTGTTCCATGCTACAGGACATGCTCCATTCCCAGGGAAGGGAATGGGAAATGCGGTCACCAGAGAACAGCTCATTACATGAAGCCTACTGTTTATTTACAGGGGAAGTTAAGTGTAGCTACAGAATGGAACTCACAGCTCTATTTGTTTAGACACCTGCTTCAACATGTCACCGACAAATATTCATTTCATCAACCATGTTACGGACTTATGGAAATGATACTACACGCCCGCCCATAGGAGGCATTTCTGAACCATGCTCATAGACATGGACAGGTACATGCAGATGAAAACCAATTGCAGAGATGATTGACAGTCCCCCAAACTATGGTACTGATCATGGCAAAGGCACTTTCAAATATTTTATAGACTGAGTTCAAGTCAAGCAAAACTGGACTGACAAGCTAGCCACAAGATAGTCGAAGGTTTCCCAGGTAATCATGAAACAGCAGAAGGTGGTGGTGGTGGTGGGGTTATTGCATAACATGGGCACAACATGAACAAAATCAAGAAAGAAGTCAAACACAAATTAACTTGGTAGAAAAAAATAATGGCAGACCAAGTTCTGTTTCTAAAAGTTCAAACAAGGGTTACATTTTATTCTATTGTTTGAGGGGACTATCTAAAATCCAGTAACACCTCAATTTTGTTTGTGTCCCGCCTCCTGAAGCTCTGAGATTTTCATCTTCTGTGACCAGGACTATCACAAGCTCAGAGTTTTATTCTTCGTAAGGAGAATCTAAGAGTTTGGATCATTGCTTTATGCCAAATCTTGAAAACTCCTTTACTTTTCCCATTAGGCACTGGAAACAGAGCCCTAAAAATTCATGAGAAAGCCTGGAAACCACCAGATGTCTATCACTTAGGGACTGCTTCAATAAATCATGATGTGACCTCACAGTAGAAAAGTGTGCAACCAGAAAAAGAAATGGGAAGTATGTCTTTGCATTATAATCTTAAGGTCTCTTATAGTTAAAATAAAATAAAACTAAGATGGAGAAATATTGAGCAGTGGGACAATTGTAAAAAAAGAAAAAAATGGATAGATAAAACAGTATCAAAATAAAAAGGGCTCTCTGGGGATGGGGAAATGGTTAAGGGCACTTGTTCTTGTAGAGGATGCAGGTTTGGTTCCCAGCACCCACATGAGGACTCATAGCCATCCATATCTCCAGCTCCAGGGACCCAACACCCTCTTCTGACCTCTGTGGGCACCAGGCACATGCATAGTACACATACAGTCGTGTATACAAAGCATTTGTCACATAAAAATATAAATAAATACTTTAAAATTAAAAAAATGAAAAAGGATTCTCTAAAAGGAGGGCGTGGACAGGGTGGTCTGTCAAAGACAAAAGCTAAAGTTACTTTACTTTGTGTCATATTAACTATTTGGTTTTCTTAAAGAATAAAATAATATTTTTAAAAACAGCTTTTAAAAATTGAAGATAAATCAAAGCAAATTAACCCAACCAGATATGCAGTTGACAGCTTAACCACAGGGAATAACCACCCTAAAAAGGCTCAGTAACTTGACTGTATCGCGTCCCCTTCGCAATATATCCCAAGGACACAACTGGCTGCAGAAAAGCAACTTTAAAATCATTGTGAAGCCTTCACACTGAGCGTGGTCACCATTGGCATTCAGAGAATATTACACACTGATGTAGAATAAACAAACAAGTGTGTTTCTAACAGTGGAAGAGCTGTCACCAGCCCTTTCCTAAGAACTACACTTCTCAGCATGGAAGACAGAAGATGAAAGCCTACATCTTTATTGAATAGGGCTCCCAAGTGAAAACCAGACCAGGAACTGAACACTCCTAGTGTCCTGGCCAAGGGCAGAGATCTCTACTTCTACTAAATGGAACCAGAGACAATTGAAAAAGAGACACTTTTATGTCTTGAGCAGGAAATATACTAGATAAGCCCAGAGAGATTTTCCTATGGTATCACTAAACACATGTGAACCCATGGGTTAAGATGCTTTAAACACACACACACACACACACACACACACACACACACACACACACACAGAGAGAGAGAGAGAGAGAGAGAGAGAGAGAGACATGAATTGGTCACTGATAACAAATGCCAAGAAATAAAAACCTAAATTTGAAAACAGTTGCAAAAAGTAACCATCTTGATAATTGTTTGCTTAAAGGAATTGTTCACAACAATAAATGAAAAAGAAGAAACTATTAGAAACTTATCCTTTTGGATCATTAATAAATGGAATACACATGGCAACATATCTAAAGTATATAGACCAAATCAAACAACCAGGAACTTAAATCCAATAGAACTAATGTCAACTAGTTTATAAATACATAGAAGATGTGAAACTATACTATGGAGACAGAATGAGTCAGACGGTTTGATACACCTGAATGTACTTACAAGGCTCTTTCAATAAACTTTAGGACAGGGCAAATTCTGGGCATCTCTATTGTGCGGAAATTGCTTTAACTGCTGTACCATCTTCTAGCCCTGTCCTCTGCTTTTGCTTTGTTTTGTTTTTAGCAATATAAACTTTTAAGACTGATATCAAAATCAGACATGTGAAGTCAGACGTTGGTGGTGCATGCCTTTAATCCCAGCACTCAGGAGACAGAGGCAGGTGGACCTCTGTGAGTTCTAGGCCAGCCTGGTCTACAGAGCGAGTTCCAGGACAGGCTCCAAAGCTACACAGAGAAACTCTGTTTGGAAAAACAAAACAAAAACAACAACAACACAAAAAATAATTCAGACATGTGTTTCAAAGTCACACAGATAAGAAAACAAGACAGAGTTATGGAAGGGTCTGGACTGGCTTTGTTAGTGACATTGAGGCTAAAATGTAAGTAATTAGAGTTCCTTATATTATTATTTTTTATCTTTTGCTTTAAAATGTATGAAAAAAATGCAAGGCATTCACAGTAAAGAGAACACGGTGTACAGAAATACTCAGGTCCTAAATACCATTTGTTGCTAAAAGGAACCAATTTCTTTAAGAGATGGCTGCTTTCAAGTCTAAGAGAGAGAAAATTAAATGGTGAGCCGGGAACAGCCAGTACTAGAGAACGGAGAGGAAAAATGATAAGGAAGACACGATCAAACAGCATGGCAGCCAGCTGCAGGGCCCCACTGGGCAAGGTGGTCAAGGCTGTGTGGCTCTCACCATCAAAGACACATGATCATATCTATAAAATGTTTAATGAAAAAAGCCAGCAGGTCTATAGAGGCATGCAGAGTTGAAAAGAGAAACAGAGCTCCCAATTACTGAGTAATGTTGCTGTCAATTAATGTGGAAAGAACAACAGGATTAGGAAACCAACGTTTCTCAAAGCCCAGCTTAATTACTGCTCCAGAAAAGGACAAGATGAAGATCAAACTACTGCACAGTAAGTTACAAGATAGGATAGCCCCAATTCAAGGGCTAATCTAACATAAGTAGTAGGTAAGAAAGGTTATTTGCACAGGATGAGAACTAGGACTAATCTAACATAAGTAGTAGGTAAGAAAGTTATTTGCACAGGATGAGAACTAGGAAGCGTCTCCCTTAGCCAACTTGGTGACACCTCTCTTAGCCAACTGGTGGCATAACTTTGCTTTAGAGGCATAGTGGTTTTGGTTCAATGTTTAACTTGTGTCTAATCATTATGAAATGATCAGATTTTTTTTAATGCTATGAACTATTTAAAAAATGTTTTTTAAATACAAAAGCAACAACAACAAGAAAGAGAAATTTCAATTTAAGACACCCAGAAAGAGAAAACAAATGCAACGTATACTCCCTATGCAAATCATAACAGGGTGTGCAGAAGGTAAAAGTCATAAGCATAAGCATAAGTTTCATTGTCTGTTAAATGTTAACTATGACTTTAGAATCTAATTTCTTAAGTCTTAAAACTTTGTTTACTTTTTCTTCATTTTATTTTTTAAAGTTATCTTTGTGTATGGTGTTCTTCCGGCATGTATGTCTGATGCCCACAGACACCAGAAGAGGGAATCAGATTCCCTGGAGCTGGAGTTAAATGATTGTGAGCAGCCATGTTAATGCTGGGAATTGAACCTGGGTCCTCAAAGAGCAACCAGTGCCCCTAATCACTGAGCCATCTCTCCAGCTCCAACTCTGTTTTGAATAGTCCTGAAAAGTCTCGAATACCAAGTGAATATGCACAGTGTATATACAGACAGACAAAGAAAGGAAGGTTAGGAAAATGTTAATTACTTGAATCAACTGTTAATGTCAATGTAATTCTTGCTATGCTATCCTTCCAACTTGTCTGTGGCTTGTAAATTTTAGAAATACAAAGCTCATTCAAAAGGCATTCCTTTAGAGGCATCTGAATGTGTACATACAGGCAGTGAGGCATCATTGCCTTTGATCTTCTGCATCCTCTCCCTGATTAGCTCTTTCTGATTGACAGCTTGCTCGGCAAATGACACCTCCAGGTTGATGTCTGTTTCAGAGGCAGGTGCATCCTCAGGCAACCCTGGGGTCAGCTCCTTGTTGTCAACAGTCCCACTCGATGCCTGGTCTAGGAGATTATAAAAAAAAAAAAAAAAAAAAAAAAAAAAAGACAATTAAACTGCTTGCCTTTTATTTAAAAACTTTCTAATATATTAACAAGACCCATGGGAAGAGTATTCTTTACTCCAGGAAACAATTTACTGTTAATTTAATAACAAAATGTCTACTCCAGGGACTATGCCAGTGGTTCATGGTATAAAAGCCGGGAGGTGGAGGTGACTAGCAAACCTGGGTGCAACTGTGGATTCTTTATGATCACAGTTTTTCGACTGGGTACAAACTCAAAAGCCTACTTGAAGGCATCAAAAGCAGCAGAAATTCCCATAAAGTTTAGTAGACGCTACTGTTGTTTTCTTCTGCACTAAGGAGCTAAATAAAAGCTGAGCATGAGAGGCGAGCTTCATTGTTACCTCTGCCTAGAGCCTTTGCTTTACCTTCCTCAGAGTGGAACACATCCAGGGGCAGACGTCCTCCACACCCTGGAATGTTACCTGTGTACCATGATAAAAAAACTCCACAACAAAAGCTGATGCCAACAACTCCTCGCTACGACAGTCGGATCTGGAGGCACCTGGTACAAGATCTGACAGGCTTACGTACCCATCTATCAAAGAGCATAAAGGTCCCTTCTACCCTTAGTCAAACAAGCTGTGGATATTTGCATCAACATCAAAACTTGGTTTTGGCTTTTTAATTTTGTCTGCGGCTGGTCCTCTAGGAAATAATTAACACTGAAATTTTTTCTTTGATTAAAAACAACAGCTACCAGGATGGAAGAAACGACTTCCAAATTTCCTTGGTGATTTTTTGGCTTTTGCACATCTCACTGTAGAAAAGCTCTGGCATGAACACTGGGATTCTTCTCACTGCTGATGCTTGCTTCACAGTAAGAAGCTGTGAGCTGAAAAAGGAACAAACTGACACGGTGGCCCATGCCTCTGACTCCAGCATTTAGGAGGAAAGAAATTGGGAGTTCAAAGCCATCTTTGACAGCATAGTGAGTGTAAGGCCACAGGGGCTGAGACCTGTCTCCAAAAGCAAAATAGGGTTGGTGAGGTGGCTCAGAGGGTAAAGACATAGCCATACAAGTCTCACAACTTGAGTTCCACCCTTGGGTCCCAAAGTGAAGGAAAGAAATAATTCTTGTTCTCTAGCCTCCATATGTACATAATAGCATGTACATGCCTACACACACACATACACACACAAAATACATATACACAATCATAGTAAGTAAATTTAAATAAATGAATAAGTAAGCTGATACGTGGGCATGGACAGGGTGCATGCCCCTAATCCAAATTGTGAGTTAATTTCTTGACTGAGCAAAATGAAACCTTGTAGCAAAAAAAAATAAAACTAAAACAGCAAAAACAGCACTTCGTATTTTGCCTACTAATATTGCACATTGTGAAACAAAGGGACAGAAGATGAAGTTAGTTTTAAAAATCTAATCAGCACATGTCAGAAATCAGAGGTGTATTATTTAAAGCTTAATTCTCAGAAGTGTTTTTGTCATCCATCATCTTATTATAAAACAAAAACCTTTGTTTCAGTAAAAATAAAGTTAATAATGAAATATGAGTCTAGCCTCATTCATTCCACTGAACAAGCAGTGAGCTTCATGAGCATGTGGCCACAGTCATATGGGGCTCTTAGAGCAACAGGGCCTGGTCTTTGCTTAGTGCTTCTCTATAGCCAAATTGCAACCCACAAAGAGCCTAGATTGGCTTTTTGTACAAAAAGCCAGCTTGCTCTCAGGCAATCTTTCAGTTATGCAAGCAAGCAAGCATGTACCTGTCTGTGTTAAACCCCTAAAGAACAACGAACTGAAAGCTCCATGATGGTGTTATCTGCTCCCATCTATGTTAGATGAGTGTTACTCAACAGTCCCTGACAATTTGAAGTAGAATACTTAATAACTTTTATGATTAATTTTTAAATCATTATCATAAGTGTCAAAAAAAAAGATTAATTTTATTCCCCCCATTAGTTTATATGGTTATATGTTTTGCTGTGAATACATTACTGGTTTCCTAGGAAACAATTCAATGAAAAAAAAATGATTAGCCATTTTGTGTAAATTGGAAGCTACTTTCGGCTGCTAGATGCTGGTGGACAAGAATTTTAAAAACAATTCTCTCCAGTGCTTCTACATCAGTTATAATAATCACACCCTCCCTGTGAATAGCATAAAAATGCTATGTGGAATTCACAACGGAGCCATTCAGAACACATTTAAAACCTACCAATTTCCTCCAGAAAACATGGCAACAAGAACAAAACATACAAAACACACAGACCTCAGTTCAAATGTGAAGTCAAGTTCAGGCAGGGAGGAGAAAGATAAGTGTGTGGGGGGTGGGGTGGGGCAGGGGATGGGTACTGCTAGGAGACAGACAGAAACTGGGCTAACAGGAATGATGAACCACCCTTCTGACCCAGAGAAGTTAAAGGAAGATATTGAGGCAAATTCCTTGCTTGTTAAGTCCACAAGTGCTGTTTCCTTCTGTCTGTCTGTCTGTCTGTCTGTCTGTCTGTCTGTCTCTCTCTCTGTGTGTGCGTGCGTGTGTGTGGGGGGCACTCATGTGTGTGTGTGTGTGTGTGTTTATCTGTTAGTTTGTACAGATGGACTCACAGATGTGTACACATGTATGTGGAGGTTGGAGGAAAACCTCAGATGCCAATCATCCAGCACTGTCACTTTACCCTTGAGACAAGTGGCCTAGGGCCATTGGCAGAGAGCTCAACAAGTGCACTAATCTGGCTAGGCCGCAAACCTAAGAGTCCATCTGTTTAAACTTCCCCCGTGCTGGGACAACAAATATTTTTGCGTGTGGCTTTGTGACATGGTTACCCAAGTCCTCATATACTTACAAGGCAAGCATTTAACTGACTGCATCATCTCTCTAGCCCTTTCTGCTGATTTTGAAGAAGACAATACACTTTGGTTATAGTTACTTTTTAAAAATTGTTCAGCTGTCCAAAATATATAAAAACAACTCTATTTTAAAAACACTTTTCTTCCTCAGTTGGAAGCAGATGCAGGAATCCACAGTTTACCATTGGGCTGAACTCCTGAACTACAATCCAAGTGAGGGAGGTGTGATAATATGAACAAAGGAGTCCAGACCATAATGGGGAACCCACAGAATCAGCTGACCCGAGCTAGTGAGAGATCACTGACTCAGGTCTGCCAAATGTGGAGCTAGCATTAAGACTGTACTAGACTCCTTTAATGTAGATGGCAATGGCTGCATATGGGACAATATATGAGGCCACTGGCAGTGGGTCCAAGATCTAATTCAAGTACACAATCTGACTTATTGGAGACCATTCTATATGGAGAGATACTTTGCTCAGTTTAGACACAGCGATGGAGCAGGGGGAGGTGCCTTGATCTTGCCTCAATGAAATGGTGGGGCAGACTTAGTAAACTTCCTAGGAGAGACTTTACCCTCTCCAGGGAGCTGATGGGAGGTGGGGTGGGGGAAAGTAGAGGGAGAGGGAAGGAATGAGTGAGGGAGAACTAGGATTAGAATGTAAAAAATAAATTAAAAAAAAAGAGCACCTCCATACAATTTCCTGGGATTCTGTAAACCATTTAAGAACTGCTAATCACACATAAAAGACAAAAATAGTGGGGGAAAGTATTTTTCTTCTCTCATGGAAACCGAAACTAAAAATATACAAATCACTATGAAAAGTTTAAATTATAAACATACTCATATATCTAAGTAAATACAAATACTGGGCCTTTCATAGAGTTGTATAATTTTATAAAGAATGAAGAAAGTGAGTTAATGTGAAATATATCAATACTTTCAACATTTAAAGTCTATTACTTTTTAGTTTAAAACTGTCTTTTAAAGGTCATTTTTATTTTATTTGTATTACTGTTTAGTATACACGTCTCTGTATTGCATGCATACAGTGCCCGAGGAGGGTGTTAAATTCCCTGGAACTGATGTGACAGATGGTTATGAGCTGCCTTGTGGGTGTTGGGAACAGGACCAGGGTGCTCTTAACTGCTGAGCCATCTCCCCTGCCCCCAAATATGTCGTCTTGAGTGAAATTAAAAACTCAAATACAGGGAAAACATTTAGATTAGACTGACACTCGTGTTTTGAGATTTTAATCACAACCAGCCTTCCTTTATAAACTCCAGATAATGTTGCCATGCATATACATTATGGCTAAGCTTGATTGTCAACTTAAAGACACTTAGAAAGAGGGAACATGGATGGAAAAAGTTCCTCCATCAGATTGGCCTATGGGCATGTGTGTGGGGAACTTCCTTGATTGCTAATTGATAGAGCTAGGATTCAGCCTACTGTTGGCAGTGCAATCACTTGGCAGGTATCCCAAATTGCATGAGATACATAGCTTCACATGAACCTGGGAGCAAGCCAATGAGCACCACTCCCCAATGGTGTCAGAGTTCCTGCCTTGGCTTCCCTGGATGAAGGGCTGTAATCTATAAGCCAACTCAACTCTTTCCTCCCTCGAGCTGCTTTTGATTAGTGTTTTATCACAGCCACTGCAACAGCAAAACAAAAACTGTTGTCATTTCTTTCTGAACTGTCCAATGTTTTCAAATCACCACTAGTTTGCTGATAAGCAAGAGTAGGGAATCCCCAAAATAGATACAGCAGCAGTAGCTACCTGGGCACTTGACTGGCTATGCGCAGTCTCCTGGTACTCTGCCTGGCAGCTTGATTCCTACTGCTCAGCCTTCCAGCAGAAACAGATGTAAATCAAGCCACAAGTTTGTCACATCCCCCTTGCCTACTGTAAGCTCAGTCTGAAAGTGCTCATATAATGGACTTGCCACACAGAACCTTTGTTGACACAGCCAACATTATGATCTCGAGCAAGAGAGGACAACATGAAGAAAGGACAATGTTTTCCTCGATATCTGTTAAACAACCGGCGGCAGTCCTCTTCAAAGCCCAAAGCATATTGACACTGGCACAAAAGAATCGTCTGTCTCTCTGAGGACCCAGCTCTCCAGCAGGCTAGGGCTGGCAGGCACAGCCAGCCTGCTTGCCACCTCAGTGTCTGCTGGCACACAGACAGGGGGAAATACCCAACAGTTCATTCTGACACAACATGTAGCTACAGAGGCCTCCATAGAAGAGGAAGAAAACAGTGTTCTTATAGGGTATGTGTGTGTGTGTTCCTGAATACATGCACACTCAGTCTCATGATGTCCGTGTGTGTATTGCATCCCTTCATATTTTTAAGCAGGGGTACAAGTGAAGTATTGAGAAAATTCTGACAAAGCAAAGATGATATATGCTCTCAGATTTCTAAAACCTCCCGTACAACCTTGTCCTAATGAATGATTTCTAGAAGAAAGTTGGGTATGCTTCCCAGTCCTTTGGTTTATCTGACAGCCACTCCACAACTCTGCTATTTCCAAGCCCAAGGCACCACTACCATGCACAAATGCCTCAGATGCTAAGGCTTGAGAACATAATAAACACACTAGTCATCTATGTCAGTATTTCTTAAGTAACTAGAGGATTACTTTTTAAAAGCTTCAATCTAGGGCCTCAGCTAAGACATTAACCTTTTTCTTGGTGATATTTAATAGAATCTTCATACTCATTTTCTTCTAGACACTGAATTTCTAATCCATCCCTGAATAAATGTTTAATGTGAAAATGCATGAGAAAGAGAATTATAATCAATTTTAAAAAATCTTTTTTCTTAAAGGTTTCTCTAAAATTCCTGAAAAATGAAACCATTTATTGATTTGGAGCTTATGATTCACGAGCAAGGCACTAACTCCACATCCTGGATGTATGGTCTTGGGAACATATAGCTTCGAAGTCTAACCCTGAGTTCTCTCATCTGTAAAACGGATTGAGAGCAGAACCTACCAGGTGGAATTCTTGAGTGTACTGAATAAAGCAAAATGCTCTGCATGCTATCTTGGATATGATAAACAGGAAGATGCATATATAAGTTTGGATCATATGGGAATACACATAAAAATGATAAAGGGCCAACCCTGAATTCAGAACCACACATTTATCTATGCTAACCTTACATTGGTATTTTAATAGCAGTTGCTTAGTAGGATGGAGGCAATGTGTTGGAGTTACAGCTGCTTATTATAGTAATCAAAGGGAACAATCAAGAGCACAGGTCCACATACCATCTTTTCCTTGGCATTTATTTTCTTTCGTTCTGGCTGAGAGCGATTCTGAGCCACCTGGAGACTAAACACAGAAAAGGAACCATTTAGTCCTCTGCAACTCACAACTAGAGAAAATACTGTTGTAAATAATCCCATTATAACCTTCAGAGAATGAGAAATGCACTCAAAACTGATCCAAGTCACAGTGAGGGAAAGTTGCCATGGTTATAATCAATAGACAATTATCCAGCAAGTAAGTGTATGTTTACTCATAACAGTGAGACATATACCAAGTACATTTGGGAACATCGGAGATGTCAAGAATGTCCCTGTCATCTGAAACACCACTATCTAGATGAAGGGGAAATGTTAGCAAAGTCCAGGGATAAATGGATATATGTTGTTTACTCACACACTATGACACAGTATTTAACAACAACTACAAAAGAAAATAAAGTCAAAAATCATGCTTCTACATGAATAAACTCTGAAAATATTATGCAATATCAAAAAAATAGTCACAAAGATCCATATATGTTAGGATTCCATGTATAGGAAAGTCAAGAACAGTCAAATCACACAGACTTGAAGATACTTGTTTGCCTGGGTATTCAGGAGAATATAAGGAGTAATTACTGATGGATATGACTTTTCTATGTGAAGCATAATAAAATGTGTTATAGTTGATTATGATGATAGAGAAATCATTAGATTATTGTTATTGATTTTAAAATAATTTTATAAATGCACACATGCATATATTTTGATTATATTCAATACCCCCATGACCATCTCTTATTCCCTCTCACTTTCATCGGATACCTTCTTGTCCCAAACAAGTACCCTCCTACTTTGTGTTTATTTTGGGGTGGGGGATCTACAACGTTTTATTAAGGTCTCTTGCATAAGCATTGGCGTGGCCTTATTTACTGGACCAATGGCTGCTTACTGGTGACTACACCAGTGAAGTAAACAATTCTCCATATTTTTGTTCTTGTTGTTGATACAGTTTTTCACTCTGTTGCTAGGCCAGCATCACACAAGCAATCATTGCCAGATTGTGTATTATGCTTTAATCAGTGATCATACGATATGTGAATTTCACTTATGTCTGGAATCCCAGAACTCTGGAGACTGTGGCAGTTGGAGTCTCATGAGTTTGAGACCATGTTCACCGATATGTATTCAAGGCTAGGATGGGCTGTGGGGTGAGACCTTGTAGATAGATAGATAGATGGCAATCTTAAGAATGAGATAGCTCAAGGACTAATATGCTTGTCATACAAACATGAAGACTTAAATCTACACCCCAACATCCATGTGAACACCTCAGTGGGGCTATAGGCATCTGGTAGAGACAAGTGGATTCTTAAAGCTTTCTGGTCAGCCATTGTCACTAAACTGGTTTAGCTGTGAGTTCAGTGAAGGAGTCTACATCATCAGCAACAACAACAAATACAGTGAAGAAAGATTGAGGAAGACACTCAGTGTTGACCTCTGACTTCCATACACATGTGCACACACCATATGCACTAGTATGCACACACAAAATAAGTTGTTTAAAGAAGAAATGGGAGATAAATTAAACCAACTGCTAGACTTGCGATAGGCATTGATATATTGAAAAGAATTCTTTTCTTTTTACAAAGGGAGTGGTGCCATGAGCCACGACACCTATAAGTTAGTCCTTCAGGGGTTGATGAACATGGTGAGCCAGGACTCACTCCACCCATGTCAGATAGCAATTCTTTCCAGGTAAGGCTCTAGGAGGGTTGGGTAAGGGAGTCTCGGCCGACCATACAAAGAGACCGATTTGAATGCATTATTTTCGATAATCACTCTACTGGATTCCAACTCACCATTTGGAAAAAGAAACTTATTGTGGTTTAATAAGGATCAGGATAAACAAATAGGCCGAATAGATGTTTATTCAGGGAGAAATAACTTACAACCTAGACAGATGAACACCAGGAAATTCAACCCGATCCTCTCCTGTCCTGTCCGACAACCGGATCTGATCCTCTCCTGTCTGAGTCACACCAGAAAGAGAGCGCCTTTCCTGGCCCCCTCCCACCTCCTTCCACAGGTCACTCCGCCCATGGCTCCACCCCCCCCCCAATGGGCATGGTCAGTGCTACAGAACTATCTCACTACAGAAACCCTCTCAACACAATTAACCTCAAGCTGTTACCCACAAAGCACCCTTCTCCCCACCTATAGTTTTACAAAAATCACTAAGGCTGGTGCCAAGAAGTCATTTACCTACAAGTTAGAGGCCCAGAACAATAAAAGAAGAAAAGCAAGTCACACAGTCACAGAAGTGACACCAAGTAACAACACTGTCCTCAAGACTGTTAGGAATCCCACACCATATATTCACTAAGGTTCAGCTCATTGACCACTCCTGCTTTTCATTTCCTCGGAGTTTTCTAGGTGGGCAGGGCCAGAGAGGAAGTGATGCTTTTTAATTAGGAAGGAAATATCACATTGCATAGCCTTACCATTCATTTTTCTATAATTGAAACCTAGTCCATACTTCAGCATTGGTAGATGTCCCAAATAACCACTGGCTAGCAAAGCAAGCAACTTATACAAGTGCCTGAAGCAATTTAGTGATGTTGAATTCCTGTAAATGGGCCACATTTGATCCACAGTTGACCATGCAAGCAGAATAATAGTCTGTAACTGGAAGGATTTTTTGCAGAAGAATGAAATGGTCGCAAAAAGTAAAGGCTCTCTATGTAACAACAATCCCCAGAACAGTGCCTTAAATATAAACTCTCCTCTTCCACTTTTTATGAAGAATCATGAAAATTTTATTGCCCTTTGCTTATACAATAAATGGATTGTCAAATTCAGATTGCTTAGCATCAGAGTCATGTTTGGAAGTGAAAATACAGCAGAAGAGAGAACACTTTAAAGTCAGACAAAATTGGGTTTAGCATCTACGGGACATTGAGCAAGTTACTTAAAGTCTATGAACCTGAGACATAGGATGGAAATAATAACACCTCACTCATAAGACAGCTGTGTGGATTCAATGAGATAAAGCAGGTGAAGCAGTTAGCTCAGTAGCTGTGGCAGCAATTACTACTGCTAATGTTGTCATTATAATCATTATTCAAGAATCCTTTTGTTACCCTCCCAGTGACTTCACTGAGTTTTCTAAATCAGAGCTGATAGGGCCAGAAGGCAAATTTTCTGTGTTCATAAAACCACTATTTAGTTCAGCTGACTTTTTCTTGTTGGGAGCAAGACTTTCATAAGTATGATCATTTCAATCCAATGCAAACTCCTTATTTCCTTATAGATGAGCCATGGATGACCTATCAACCAGCTGTTCTGCACAGCACTGTTCAGGAACACAGAGGTCTACTAGTTCTACCATCTCGCTAAAATCTCTTCATTTGCCAGTCTTTTGTTTCTACCCGAATCCAGCATCTTCCATGAAAACACTAACCATCTGGGTTTGTGTTAACGCAAATCTATAGGCAATGGAAGGTGCCTAGAGTCAGACCCAAAGAGCCCTTCACATCTCAAGGTCCCAACTGCATTCGTAGTTCAGGTGCCATCACTTTCCTCATAGTCCACTTCCACCCATCCTTGAGGGGGTGGCAAATTAAAAGCTTTCTTCACGCAGTAATAGATAAGGACCAGAAGGTGGTGATGCTTGCCTTTATTCCAGCCCTCAGGAGGCAGAGGCAGAGGGATCTCTGTGAGTTAGAGGCCAGCCTGGTCTACAGAATGATTTCCAGGACAACCAGGGCTACACAAAGAAACCCTGTCTTGAAAAGACAAAAAGAAAGATAAGGAATAACTCCCCCATCTCACCACCCTCAACCCCACCTCTGCCTTTTTTATCAGAAACAACTGGCAGGGAGGCTGTGTAGGCCTTCTCCACCACCCTGTCACACCCAGTGCTGTGACAGGCACATCTAAATGCTCCCAGGACTCCATCCTGCCTAGCACAGGATCATCACACTGAGTTTGAACTGTGTCTCACTTCTCAAATGGCAAACCTCAAGGCTATTGCTTCACTGCCAACACGGTGCTTTGACCCTGGGTAGCCCACAGTTGCGCATTGAGTTTGTGGTGATCTGAAAGAACTAGATTGGTCCAGATGCGTCTAAGCGTTTCATCCTCTGCCTTCATTATCAGTAAGGAATCTTACTTTTTCTTGTGCTTCACTCTGTTGAGCAAATATATCTCTGACGTCAGGAATGTGGTGCTGTTTGTTTTTCTTCCTCATGGTCTGGGAGACTGTTTCTACCCGTTTCTGAACAGCTGCTGCCTGAGTCCGGGTCAGTGTGGCTAAAAACACCATACTTTCCTGGGGGTCATCGGCAGACTCTCCAAAGAGATTGGACAACCCAGCCTCCTTAAGCCACTCTTCTTCCAGTTCTCCCTCTAAAAGAGTTTGGAAAAAGAAAGAAAGAGATCATTTTGAAATCACGAAGTATAAAAAGGTGCATGTTTTCAGACGCCCAGAAACCCTGACTGAAATGTTCTTTTTATAACCGAGCCGGTGCAGAGAGTCATTATCTGAGACTTGGACAGCTGCCATCCACTCTGGCCAAAGCGATAGCAAATTTTGGGTCAATTTCATATATACTTAATTAAAATTTTTTAAATTGCTTCACATGTAATTAACCTACACAACTTTCTGCATATTAACTAAGGAGGTGGCACAGCATTCCTTCTAGAGGCAAGCGAGCCGTGAAGAGAGAACTTGCTCCGGCGTGTGGCGCAGGAAGTTGGTGCTGCGAACACACAGGCAGGCCTCGTTTCTTGGCTTACATTCAAGGCTATCTTGGAGCCCAACACTAATCTCAAAAGGGTTTATTTTCTCAGTTCTCTGTAGCTTGTGAGGCATATGGCAAGGTAGCTAGGAAAACAAAATATATGGGCATTGGGGAACTATTTAATTTCAAGTTAAATTTTCTATTTTTTCTCAAATAAGTACATCAGAAAATATAGATATTTAAGAATTATTAAAAAGCACATTACTTTCAGCAGCAACAACAAAAGAGTTTGTATGAAAACTAATTAGATCAATTAAAAACACAGAAAGTAGGGATTCGGCTGTGGTTCATTCTATATCTGTGGTAGCTACATCTGAATAGCCAACTAATCTGGATTGATAAAAAGCAAATGGGCCTAAATGGGCCTAAACTAAACATGGTATGAACAATTTTCTTCTTTCCTACTCCGCTACCGCACCCAACCCCACCCCCAGGCAGGGTTTCTCTGTGTAGCCCTAGCCATCCTGGAACTCACTCTCTAGTCCAGGCTGGCCTCGAACTCACAGAGATCCAGCTGCCTCTGCCTCTCAAGTGCTAGGATTAAGGATGAGCACCACCACTGTCTAGTTTTGTTTTGTTTTTTTGTTTGTTTGTTTGTTTTTTAATGACAGGTTTCACTACATAGCTCAAGCAGGCTCTAAATTTTTGATCTTTGATCTCCTACAGCAAACTCCTTCATGCCCTACCAGGCCTGACCATAGACCTTTCATTTCTTGCCATTCCCTAAACACAATATAGTATCAAATAGTACTTTATGTAGTATCATGTACTATAAATAACACAGAGCTGATTTAAATACACAGGGGTATGTAAACAGGTTTACACAGATTCTATGCCTCTAGAAAAGACATTTCAGTGTCTGTGGATTTTTGGTGTTCTGGAAATCCTGGAACCAATCATTCCTAGACACCAAAAGATGCTGTATTTTAAGACCCAATGAAGCTTGTAGAAAAACAGATGGAAAACTACAATAGAGTCACTTCAAGCACCGTGTTTATAGAGAGAAATAAAAAAGTAATGACAGGTCACAAAAGACATAAGAGTCTGTAACCCATTTCAGAAGCTTGACAGCTATGTCATTTTGAACAAGTCAGCCTGAAGCTAATTCTGCTTTTTCCTCTATAAACTAAATGAGGGCCACCAGAGGTACTTCATGACTAAAGGTCAGGACACTGTGCAAATATTATCATCTGTATCACTAGTGTCTGGTTTCTGTCCTTCTATACCACAGCAACTCAAGAAAAACAACCAGCCATTGTCATTACTGCTCAATAGATAAAACACACTATAGGTGAATAAACCCAGAGTGCTTGGGGGCAGGGGCATGGGGTTTGACACATCATGACAAGGAAAACAAGATGATTATAGTCATTTAGTGAATTAAAAATAGAAGAAAAACTCAAACTATTTAAAATCTAGGAAAAACCTGGCATGGGTATCTCACACCTTTAATCTCAGCACAAGAGGCAGAGGCAGAGGCAGGTGGATCTCTGTGAGTGGGAGGCTAGCCTGCTCTACATAGTGAGTTCAAGAACAGTCAGGGATGATAATAATAATAATAATTAATAATACCATGGGAGAAAAATATGACTCTATAGAATTATGCCCATTTTCCTTCCTCATCTGTGAGTCAATTTAACTTTGAACATTTCTCAAATAGCCACAGGCACAGTCCTGTACCTAAGACTTAAATGTGGTTTTCCCTAGCATGTTGTTTCCTACCAAGCAACTGGTAAGTTGCTTCTGTCTTGAAACACAGACTAAGAGATGGTATTTTTTTTTTAATTACTACAAATAAGAGAGGTTTGGGTCATAATGTATTTAGAAAAGAATGGGAGGAAATTAAATGAGAAATCAGATTAGCTGAGTATGACTTTCTTTTATCAATCTGAAAAATATTAAATTGAGAAAAGTCTCCAGGCCTGGTACAGTGACACACACCTATGATCTCAGCTCTTACAAGACTGGTGCAGGACAATTACAAGTTCAAGATAATCCTGGTCTACATAGTGAGACCCTAATCCTATTCAAAGAGAGAACTAAAGTCAGGCCCCAGATTATGATTGGTAGGTTTTGAGGTTTTTTGGGGTTGTATTTGTTTATTTGTTTTTCGAGACAGGGTTTCTCTGTATTGCTTTGGAGCCTGTCCTGGAACTAATTCTGTAGACCAGGCTGGCCTTGAACTCACAGAGATCTGTCTGCCTCTGCCTCCAGAGTGCTAGGATGTTGGGATTAAAAGCATGGGCTACCAACTCCAAGTTTAGTAAATATTTTGTGGGCATTTTTAAAGCAACATTGTAGCAAAGGAGAAAACCCTATTTATAGTTACTTTGTAGTTCAATAGGCAGTAAGTTTGGGATGTCTGTACTAGTAGATCACAGATTTTGGCATTTATACATCCACTGGTATACCAAAATATACAAAAAAGATTATGGATAGCATAGAAAGTCACCCTTTTAATGACAAAATCTGGCATCACAAATAAGGTGACTTCTTTCATTTTAAAATATTAAAAAATTAGAAATAATTAAGAAAAATATTTTAAAAGTGAGTTATTGCATGTTTCCTCCACAATATCAAGTATAGTAGTGAACTGTATATAAAATACCATTGGGAAGTAATGTAAGAAAAAATAACAAAACAAAACAATACTGGAAAGAAGTGACTAAGGGAGCTGAAATGCTAATGTTGTCTTTTACCATCCAAATATGAACACTCCTATCAACAAAGCATGCTTTGTTGCTTCCAATTTGGATACTGTGCTGAATTGATACAGGACGAGGTCTACCAGAGGTCTAAACCCCACCCTCATGGGTTGCTTATGTACTTGTGTGATGTAGAAATGTTTTATCTAGAAACAAGACAAATACCCTCAAATGCTCAAAAGATAACCATATATGGGAAAATAGAATGAACTTATTTGTTCTTTCTCAAGGCAGGAAGAACTACACCAACTAAGTCTGAGTTAGAAGGAAACAGAGTGCAAACCAACATAGTTCTAACAAACCCAATTACTTAACAAATGGAAAAACAGAAACACTGCTAAGTGGGGAGCTCGCCATCAAAATCCACACTTCTTGGAGACCAAATAGCCGTGGTGCTAGTATGTTATGGAAGGAATTAAAGTCAGTATGGATGATTTTAAACAGCAAGTCTAAACTCAATGAATCTCTAACAGAATGGGCTTAACCATCATCATAAAGAGAGTTTGCTCCCTCTTGTACCTGGTAACTGGACTCATCTCTGTTACAGTCTAGTAACCTTCAAGTTCTTTTTCTTTCTAGACACCCATTTTCCACTAAGATGTACATGTTTTGTCCACTTAGTCATTACCATCAGGCTCTTTGACAACAACAGCCTCCTGACTTTCTTGGCGATTTTCGTTAGACTTCTTGATATTTTCTAGTTCCGTCCAATAGTCCTCCATCGAAACTTCGTTCAAAGAATCCTGGGAACTCGATCGATTAAAGGGAGGCTTCTCTGTACCTTTGGCAGAGCTTTCTTGGATCATGGTGTATTGGCCATATCTGCGACTGAAATACAGAACAAACAAGGTTCATTTTAGTGTGAGAAACTAGCACCATTGCCAAAGCAACATAGCACTGAGCTGGGAAACCTAGAAGCTACTTAAGTTCACCACTGTTTCATTAACTCAGGTGCATTGTGGTTGGTAATGTCAAAAGGGAAACAATTTGATGATTCATCTGAGTTTGGGCTCTACAGAAAAGAATGACAAAGAATTAAGGAGCAACTACTAACTTACCCTTTCACGTAGTAAATTCATTTAAACCTGAAATTTTATATTTAGAAAGCAATAGAGTGAACCTAGATTACTGGCTAGTCACAAATAAATATGGAACAAATCTTATATAATATACAATTTTTATCAATTACATGTATATACCAAACTCAATCAATGTATAGCAAATCACTCCCACCGGTGAATAAAGTGAATTTCAATTTCTATCTTATTTTTGATGCTGAAATACACAGAAGTTAATCTGTGAAATTTTCTGCTCTACTCTACTGAGGAAATCACTTTAAAACTTATACATGGATTTTTGGTTTATACCTAATAACTTATAACATGGTTAAACACTCAATTACTGGAAATGCTGAATAACTTGAGATTGCCTCAGATATTTCTTGTTATTTATGAAGAAAAAGAAAAATTGAATGAGACTTATTTTCATTACATTTACTTGTTATGGGCAGAAGAGGTCTCATGAGTCATGGAGAGTATGTAAGTCAAGAATCAGTTCTCTCTTTCAATGGTGTATGTCCCATGGACTGAACTCTGGTCATAGGCTTGGCAGCAAGGGCCTTTACCTGTTGACTGTTTTATCAGCCCTTGAATGAGATTTTTATGACTTCAAGTAAACTAGTTTTCATGATACTCATATCCCACCTACTTCTGAAATTGATTTATGAGACTATACAGTAAATAACCTATATAAAATAGAAAGTTTTATTTTTTATTATTTACAGACAGAAAGAAAACAGCACTTAAGTACCTTAAAGAGGTATATTTTCATCTCTGGTGTCTTTGCTTCATATAAAATACTTTTCTGTTTAAAGAGTACAATTTGAATGGGGATAATAATTGGTAGAGGAGTTTTATTATTCTAATTTCAAAATGCTTTTCTATCTCCCGAAGACTATTAAGAAGCAATACTTGCTAGACTGATTTTATTTCCTGTCCATATCAAAAATAAAGAGAAAGATGATATAAAATTCTTTAATATTCCACAAATGATATTCTCATATTCAAGCTGTTCTTTCTGATATTTAAAGGAGTAGGATCTTAACACTGTGTGAGGGAGCGGGTCCGTACACTCTAGCAAATCTATCCAGTTGAATTCCAAATGGTTTGGTGAAATAAAAAAAGGCAAAGAACTTGGGAAGAAATGGGGCTGTGATTGGCTACTAGGCAAGTTTATTCATTAAAACTGGATTTTTAGATCTTAAGTGCTTTATTAATGCTGCTTGTGAGGATCAAAAGAGGCAACCCTGAGAACTCTCCCTGGAGTAGGGTATGGCACCCTAAACCCTAGTACTCTCAGTAGACTAAGCCAGGAGGGTTGCATATTCACAGCTGCCTTGGGTCATGGAGTGAGATTCTGTCCCACAAATAATACCTCTTTTCCTGTCAGCAACCTTGCAGTGGTGATGGGTGGACTTCAGGAGCAGAGTTAACAAGAGGAAGTGGACAGAACGCTTAGCTATCTTTCATTCAGTCTCCATCATCTATTGTCAGCCTCCTCCATCCTTAACTCAACAGCTACTCCTCCCTTCCATTCCCACTTGTCCTGTTTACATTACTGTGTATGTAACTTCCCAGCCACGTAACTAGCCCCATTATCACTGCAAAGGCACAATGGTCACTGTAGATTTTTAAGTCCCTAATAAAAAGTCAGCCCCTCATAAATGTTCCCATTTCCAGGGTTACAAGCTTCATTCACCTGTGTGCGGTCTTGCCTCCTTACTCAGGCCACTGGATAGCCACAGCCTAGTCACTGTGTTCTCCACACAATTTGCTGCTGTTTATTTCATGTTAACTATGCAGGCATCAGGCCTTGCTTTGTTTCCTCCCTCATTAGAGTATAAAACTGGCTACCATTTTCTTGTTTTCTACCTTTAGCTCAGTGGTCCCTGTTAGAGACCACAATGAGAGCCGTGAACTGTGAGAAGTACAATAACTAATAATACCAGATAATTTGGTTTATCTGCACACAAGAAAGTAGAGTGCTTGAATAGAAGAACATTAAGCCTTTCAGTCCTGCAGGAATGTGTTTATTCTGGCAAGAAATTTCCAGTAAATTTCCATTAAGATAGCATGTGCAGAAAAATTTGAGAGCACTGAGTTACAGCCTTGTTATATAAATGTGTCTTCTCTGTCAAGCCCTGCCTTCAAAACGTGCACACAGCACCCATCTTACACCTCAGTGTTGATGTATGATTCAATATTGTGACTTTGCTAGGATTTGGGTGCTGAATCCACTTATGGTAGCTTGAAAATCCCTAGATCATGGGCCTTTCCCTTTTTTTTTTTTTTTTTTTTTTTTTTTCTTTCTTTCTTCCTTTCTTTCTTTCTTTCTTTCTTTTTTTTTTTTTTTTTTTTTTTGTTGTCGTTGTTGTATCACTGGTAAGTTTTGTTGGACCATATTTTCCATGTTATATATTGGGGTTAGGAATGGGAAGCAGCAAATGTCCAACTATTCATTGCTCAATCCTGTCAATGTATTTTTTTTTTTTCTTTTAATCCAAACCTTTCAGGTGAGGTCAGTTAATATGCTCTACCAGTTTTCCTTTGCAAACACACTTAACTTTTATACTTCAGACAAGCAAGGGCTAAAAGTCTAGAACCTTCCTAAAGCTGCCCTGGTAAGCGGCTAGTTACCTGATTTCCTCCTTTTGATTTTGAGGACTATGTCTTTCATATTAACATTCCTTCTGCAAACTGAGTTCAGAGTCATGAAGCACCATGTGCTTAGGGAAATGAAGTAGAGTTGAGAAGGGATTCATTTCCACTTGGTCTCAGCCAGCACGAGATGCTGAAATTAATTAAGGAAAAGAGACTACACCACAGGCAGCTAGCAACTGCCCCCAGGACCTGCTGTCAAACCTCTACCCAAGTTCTCTCTCCCTCAAGCAGCCTCTGTTCTGGTCATCCTAGAGCCAGGCTTCAAGCAGTCCTGCATCTCTCAACCCTGGCAACTATAATAACCAAACTGAAAATGGTCCTCTGAGAAGCTGTCTGACATTGCTCCCAGCCTTGCTCTGCACACATCATGCTCTTTCTAACACACATGCCACCAAAACCACCAAGAAACACCTACTTCCTAGACTTAAGGGCCTTCCTGGAGTGTTCTTTTTCCACTTTGCTACCATGTCTTCTAGGCTTATAAAGATAACTGGACTTTTATTTTATAGTATTGTTCCCAGGTATAACTTATTTCATTTTGCCGTTATCATTTTTCTAGTTGATCAGAAAATTTAAAAGGTATCCATACTCTTCAAGGTATTATGGATACCTGCTTTTGCTTTTGCTTGTGTTTTTGTTCTTTTTGAGACAGAGTCTTGCTACATAACCCTGACTGGCCCTATACTCACTCTGAAGACCACAATGTCCTTGAACTTACTATCACCCCTCTGGCCTCCCAAGTGCTGAGGTTCCAAGCATGTGCCACCACACCTGGTTTATTATTTCTTTTGTCAAAAGGAAAATAAAAATGATTGGACAATTTGTCCTCTACAAGGAGGTAAAGCTGTCATTTGTGATGTCATGGATGACTCTGCCTAGGGTCAGTTTGATCACCAAAGATGGACACACAAGCATCAAATGATTCTACCTCTGCCTTACTCCATTATCTTTGGTAAGTCACTCACCTCTCCTCAATTCTTCTACCGATAAAATAGAAAGCTGCCAATATAAAGTCACACCATGGCACACATGTTAACTAGGAGGCCCTATATTTATCCCTAACCACCTGAAACAAACAAAAGTCAACAAGAAAGCAAAACCCTCATAGTCTGAAGTTCTACCAGACTGCCTCATGCTTAGCCATGAGAAGGCCATGGCCATGAGTGTCCTTCCCGATGCTTGTACCAACTACACATGACTCCCTCTCTTATGTTTTAATAAGGCTACTTGTGCTCTCTTCCAAGGCTCAGAGGAATCATTTACCTTCTAGAACAATTCTCAAACAAGGATGCCAGAGCCCCCTTTACATAGTTAAAAAGGCTCTAAGAATACCCAGAAAGCTTTCCCTTGAATATGTTTTATCTATTGGTATTACATTAGATATTAAAAGCAAAAAACAAAAATATTAAGTACTATTCATTTACTAAGAAACTAAGTTTTTGGAAGAACAGGAAGGAAGAAGAGGAGGAGGAGAAAGAAGAAGAAAGCTACATCCTTCTAAGCAAACCAAAGAACAAAAATTGATATGGTACACCTTGACCTCATGCCATGTGGTTGGGATGGGCAGAACTCAATGGATCACAGCCTGGCTTTCTAGCCCAGGAGAGGACTCCCGCAATATCTCTGTACCAAAACGAAGTCCACCAGGAGCCTCGGGGCATTACTATGATCGCTTTGTGACAAGGAAGCATGGTTCTGCCCAGTGCCATGAGGGTCTAAACAGGTTGAGGACACACACACTCAGGCCAGGGGCAGAGAAGAAACTAACCCTGGGTTCAGAGAAGAAAACACTAGCCCACATGGACTTTGAGGTGTTAGACAGATGGGCTCTGCTCTGGTGAGCAAATATATGATGTGGTGTGGAGGAGAGAAAGAGAGACAGAATGGTTCCTGTCCTGTAGACGGCGGCACATCTGAAGAGGTGAAAGCGGTGAGGTGGTGAGGAGCGGGCTGAGCTGAGTAGATTGATTGCCACCCAGGGCCATGGTGGTGTCTGTGCCTGGGCTGCCGCTGGGGCCCATGTCTGAGTTCATGGCTCTGGTGCAGCCTGGTCTCTGTTGATGGCCATGGCTCCTCATGCCACAGAAGACAGAAAGGATAGGGTTGTAC